ATTTGACCACTTGGGAAAGTTGACTAGGCTAAAGCGTCCCTTCTATGGGGTGCGGTCAACACACTAGAGGAAAGCCTACCCATACCCATGAACAGGGAAAAGATGCGAATGAAACCAAAACAGTCCTGCAAGAAAGCTTTATCCTCACTAAAATGCGTCTTACTCGGGCAAATACTGAGGTCACAAAACCCATTCTCCGGCAGACCAAAAGGAGAAATCTTTAAGAAAGTTTTAAAAAACTACTCGACACGTTGATAAAAATCCTCACGCACGGCTCATGCTTTGCTAGTGAAAACAGAAGTGGCTACAGCACACTCATCCAGTACCCAGGAAAAGTATCTCAACAAAAGAGATATCAGGGTCCATTGGTAAATAAAGGAACGATATGATGAAGAACTCGAAGCATTACTGGCTGCTTTTAAGAAAATATGCCACCTTTATTTTTTTTTACAATGTACTTTATTTTGGAAATATTTTTCTATTTTTACCTCACTACATGCTCCATAACCTCTCTTATTCATTTTTCCTTTAAAAAAAAAACTAAAACAGTATTTCGTTTACCACTGCCTCCTAATCCTTTAATAAATCTCAACCCAACCTCCACAAATCCATCGCCCTAAGGTCCCACATCCTCTCTCTCCCATCACCCTAAAATATTCATTAATTTTTTGAAAAGCAAAAATCCGAAATTATTTTACATTTACCTCGTTTTTAATCACCCCAAGGAACCCCACTATTTCTTCCCACATAAAGTAAGGTCTTAGTTGTTCTACCCACTTTCCAGGTCACAACCTTTTCACTTGAATGCTTTCCCCTACTCAAAATATCTCCTAACACCAACCGACACACGTTGTTAAATTATCAATGTCACTCATTAGGTCTTATAGAATCTGACACAAAAGACAGCTTTGAATGAGAGTCATAAATACAATGAAATTATAGATTTTCGGCTTTAAAGAACTCCTATCATTGTCTCCAAATTAATTTAACGAAACGTATGTTGCTGTCCTTAAATTAATTCTAATATAAATTATAGGAACTAATGGTTATATGTTCTCCTTGACAAGTAGCACTGTATACAATTGAACAATGATTTGAATTTTTTTTTTTTTTTGTGCTATATCATAATCATTGGAGCTACAGGCCGTGTTGGGCCCTGGCCTGCTCAGCCACACACTTACGTTTGAAACTATCAATGGCTCTCCTCCGCCATGCACGAACTCCCAAGTGGTGTAAGTCCTTCTTTACATCGTCGATACATCTAAGCCTTAGGTGCCCGGTTAGTCGTCTGCCCCTAGATTTCTGCCTGTAATTTGAATTGCTTGGTCCATTATAATCAAAAACATATTGGTCAATAAAAAGTGACTGTTAGCTAAAATATTGCGTACCATTAAATGATTTTGCAAATGTGATCTGATTTAAGATTTGGCTCGTTAGATCAGGCCTGCACAGCTCAAAATATAAGGCGGGCCTTAATACATATGAAAAGCTTGTACGGGCAAAAAGATGATTGGACAGGGAAGATAGCTATTAAGAAAATAAGAAGAAGAATATTTCTTTCTTTCGTGGACCGCTAAAGGCGGTGCCGGCGGCCGTACACTGTGCACGCCTGCGTTATATGAAAAAAAAAAACCTAACAAAGAACTGGCAACAAGTTTACAGAGAAAAACGTTTGAAAATCTAGTTATATTAATAATATTCAATTTAATAATGCTGTAAAGTTTATTGCTGGCACCCGTCCTTCACACTGTGACGATGGAGTGGGCTTTGAAGGACGAAATCCACATGGCCTGGGATTATTATTCAAGGATTATAAGCTGATTCCCAACAGCAAATTGCCTCTCTTCATGCCACTGGATAACTCAAACGAACATCAATGGATGATACAGCTTGGCAACAGTGACGTCGCAGGAGTTAGCGGGATGTTTCATTGTATCAATGTTATCCGCCTTTAGGGACTCAATTTCTGGGTTTGATTTCAGAGTTTCCTTCTCTTACATGAGTTGCCATCCAAGGTTAACGAGTCCCATCCACCGGGGTGCTGTTGGTGTTTTTGCTTGACTGGGCTGTGGCTGGAGTTGACCACCAACTTGAGATTTGCTCAGTTTAGACCACTCAGCAACCCAGCGTCCGGGAAAGTTTATTATAAAATTTGAAATCAAGTTAACCGAAATAAAAGCTGTATATATACATATACATATACTTTCTTCAACATATATATATATTTTAATCAACTAAAATTATTAATAATTTCTGAGGTCTTAAAAAATCATTTTTAATGACCAATGAATTATCATTCTTCTATTTTAAATAATTGGTATATTTTGATCGGAGAAATGGTGGCGTAGGAACAACACAATCCCTCGACTTCAAACAGAAGAAAACATTAAAGATAAAAGTATTATTATTATAATATAGAAAATGTAAACCCTTACCACCTTATCCGTTATCAAGGATGTGTTATTCTTTTATAAATATGTTAGGTACCTTATTTTAAAACATTTACCCTTGAACATTATTTTTAGAATGCGTGCACGCTTGAATAGATATTTAGGACAGCCTTAGCAAAGAAATCAGTTTGTAGTGGGTCGAGTCTAACTGTAGTCCAAAGTTTTTCAACGTTACTGTATATTGACGACATGTCTTTAAAACGTTGGCTATAAGTTAATGATACACATGGAAAGAACTAGAACAAGATTGGTTAGATTGAATTAAATGTGTGAATTTTTTATTTTTTTAAATAAATATATTTATAAAATTGTGTGTTGGTATTTGTTTGTATATATATTTTGTTATATAGAAACAAAGATATATATATATATATATACATTTTTAATTACGTATCAGACTGCAGTTCAGTCTAGTGCTTTTTAATGCAAAAATACATGACCTCTCAAAGTCTCTGTCACACGCCGTGTTCAACTGTTGATCGTTAACTCTACGTCTGTGAACATAATAGCTCCATGCTCTCGGGACAGGAGATACGTATACGTGCCCCATTTGTCACCAAAATCAAAACACACACATTCTGTCTGGAGTCATGAGCCTGACACGGTTATAGGTGACCAGCAGATAGCCCCAAAATAGTTGAATTGCACTTAAAAGAAACATGAGGAATTAATAAACATTTGAAATGTTTATTAAATCTGGTCATTGGCGCCCGCAGGTAGGGGAAAGGTGGGGCACTTGCCCCCCCCCCCTGGATTGATTGGATAAAAAAATTAGACAAAAATATACAAAAAATGTATTAAAGTAAAAAGAAAATAAAGAGAAAGTAACTTAGCTGATGTCCTGTCCGTTCGTTCACTAAACAAATACGCTATAGTAAATTAAAACTACATTAAAATATTACTAAAAATTTTTTGCCCAAACCCCCCCCCCCCTGGAACGTTAATCGATTTTCCCCTCCCCCCTATAAAGTTTTCTGAGGGCGCCTATGAATCTGGTACTAGATTTTTAAAAAATTACCTAATATATACGTATCTTTCAAATTTATTTCTTACATTTCTTTTATAACTGATATTAAAGGCACACATCTTTGCCTATTAAAAGGGCCTACAATATTATGTCACAGAAGCACTGGTGTAAGAACAATCCGGTGTTAGTTCGTTCGCCCTGGGGTTACAATTTTAAGAAGGAAGTAATTGATTGGTTCACTTGTATGACTGTGTGGTCGGTGTGTGATATTTATGGTTTCTGGGAGACGGGGCGTAAACGCCACCATCCAGGGCGTAACAAACACCAGCTTTTTGTCACTGATTAAAAGTTCTTATTAGAATTACATATATCTATACAGCTTAAATACGCTTTAGATATTTATACTACTATAATAGGCTTAGCTAGGGTTAGGTTGTCACCCGAGGCAAATCGTCCAATTACCCCCATCCTTCACACGCCAGGAATAAAACAAATTCAAGCATAAAAAAAGGGTTTATTTTCTATTTAATTTGCATGGAAATATAACTTCTTTAAATTTTACTCAAATATAAAGTTTAAGTATCGATTAGTTAAAATTTAAAAGTTTTAAGTAAGACAATGAATGCTATTGTCATTGGAAAATGTTTTTCCTAACTAATATTATTTATTTAAAAAATATATATATATATTTTTTGTTATTTTTTTTTAAATATAAAATTTTGAGATTAATAAAAATCTCTAAAACATTACATTCTTTAAATTTTCATCAAACTGGGTCCACGCTGTTACACCATGTTGAAGGTATCTGCCAATTTGCTATTTTGAGGACAAGGAAGTAAATTAAAGGTGTGTTGCGCTTCTCATTGAACGCGGATTCTCGGGAATATAAAGAACGTTTGATCGGTGCAGATCTACTTCATTGTTACTATAAAGAATATCGTCATTTTTACATGTAAGTACTTGTTTAGTCTTTTCTACCTGAAGTGAGATCAATTAAAATTTTGAAATTACTACCTAAACTTCAATTTTAATATCAAGAAAAAAAGAATCATTGATAAATAAATACGAATGAATGCATGAATGAATGTTAAACTTATCGATCTTATCTCTGAATGGTTTCACGTGTATTTAAACGTAACTCATGGGATGTACGAAGCCTTTTCCACGATCATGAAATTACATATCAGTAAAAATTGACTATAATAATCTACAAAAATGATCTTAATAATAATCTACACAAGATCGTGATACATAAAGAATGTTAATTAAATACTCCAAAATAATATGTGACATATTTCATTTTAAACGGATTTCATTATAATCAGAATTCTATTGAACAGATTGCATTTTGAACAGTTCTCATTTAAAAAAAAGTCATTTCCAACAGACGTCACTTAAAACAGATTTCATTTAAAATATATTTTATTAAAAATGATTTATTCTTGGGATAAGGAAATTAAGAAAAGTTTGCAAAATTAAACTTAACTTCATGTACCGTATCAAAGATATTTTTTTTAAAATCTCAAAAACGCAATTTCTATTAAAATTTAGAGTTTCGTTTCTTTAAAGTTTAATTTTTATAATTTTCAGGTTACAACTTCAGAAAGTGTGTGATAAAAATCATGACCTCCGTAGCGTCATGGTATATGTTCATTTTTGTAGTGTGCATTATCTACAATTCCGCACAATGTAAGTTGAAGCAGCCACCAAATCTGTTCTATAAGAGGAAAACATGAAAGAGGCAATAAGCTTATTTTTTTTTTATTTAAAAAAAAGAAAGAAAAATTGGGCGAATTGTTAGTTAAATTAAATTAATTATTAACTTTATGCATAGAAAAGTAGTACATCTGCTTTTAATTGTGAGATTCAGTTAATTAATTTTCAGTATATTTGCGTTTTTTTTTTTTTTTTGTAATCCTGAGTGTTTATTATGCATATTTTATAATGCAAACTTTTTTCCAGTGAATTACAAATACATTTATTATAACATGTAATGTCTTTGAACCAATTGTCCATAACAGCATGTGTTACAACATTCTCCACAAACTACTGGTTTGGTACCAACTGCCAGTACAAATGTCACTGTAAGAACAATGTAGCTTGTTATGTTACCAATGGTGACTGTCCAGGGGGATGTGATATTGGATGGTTTGGTCCAGCATGTCAGTACGGTAGGTCAATAAGCACTTAGCTGAAAACATTTAAACTTTCTATTTGGGACCTATTCCCACCTCAACCATGTCTCAAGCCTTAAACTCCCCCTCCCCTAACCAACTCTTTAAACCTACACACTTTTATTCTTATTTAATATCATAACAATTACCGCTGCTATTACACTTTAGTCTGACCTTATTAACTTACGCCTTATTCCCAGTGTCATCATACAGCAATCGATATGTCCCAACATTTTTCCCTAAACCTATCCACTTCCTTTACCCATTAATATGGATCATTATTTTTATTTGCACTTGTAAGTTATAAAATATTAAGTTTAAAATCACGTAAAAAAATAAGAAAGGGTCAATAAAACAAGACATTATTCAAGCCATTTTTATCAGCTATTAGGGTTATCCTTGTAAACAAGTGTACATGTGCAGGTTGACAGCACTTTTGATTCTTTTCTATTGGGATGGTGCGATTGTATGGTATCATCATTGTCGTTTCTGTCGTACCAGGAACTTCTGACTTCTGAAAATCTTTTAAAGGTATCCAAACATTTGGACACATGTTATTTTTAAATGCTTATATTCACTTACCTTTTGTTCACGTGTTTATTTCTGTCTGGGGATGTGGCAAAATTTTCGCAGTGCTAATTGACCCACTTTTTTCAACATATCAAGTTGAAACTTACCACATTGTTTGTTTGTCGATGACAACATATAATTTCAAATTTTCAGATGACAACGCAAAATGAGAAGTTTAACAATTTTTGTTTTGAATTATGGAAATAGTTGTGTAATAAATCTACAATAAAAGGGAGAGTCGTCCATTAGAATATTGAAATAGTTCAGAGCCGTGAAAACAATACGCTGTTGCAAGTTTTTGATGAATTTTTTGTTTAAATTCTAAAGCCAAATAATTGTATTACCTATGTGACTGAATGCTTTCTTAAGAACTTTAGCCATCGATCAGTCTCACAAAATGATATAAAAGATGTATTACAAAAACTGGGTTTTATGGATTGTTTAATTTTAGTTTTCTTTAAAAAATATGTTTCCGAGATAGTGTAGTCTGGAAGAACCGTTTAATAGGTCATGAGAAATACGTGTATTTAGAGATCTAAGTGTTCCAAGAGAGTATTAGGGATGTGACATGGTTTCATGAGATGGCGCCTGTTGTTTGTGCTCCGTCAGGAATTTTACGAATTGTCCTTGAACTCACCACAACATCTGATAATTTATATTGTTTAATTTACTTCAATGTTCACTTGTCTTTTGTTAGGTAAAGAAGACTTTCTTCCTCCACTTCATTTGTTTTGTTTTATCCTATTTCAGGGTTTTGTACACTCTCAATGTGATGCTTCATTCCTCTCAAATAAACTGATGGTCTTCCCCCCTCACCCCAACCATTAATGCAGTAAAATATTGAGGCATGGACGCAATGGTCAGTTGCCAAAAGCCTCATGATTTTATTTGCCCCACACTTCAAACGGAATCATTATGACTATATTGTGGAAAATATTCAAATATAATTTCGCTATTTTATTTAGTTTTCTTTAAAAGTGTATAAAAGCACTTTAACTAAATATTTGTAGACTAGATTGTATATTTTCATGTGTTTGTTACCAGATTTAGAGAAAAAATAAAACCTTTTTAAACCATGAACATGTTAAAATTAATGCATTTGGAAAAAAAAAAAAGTTCGATTACATTAAACAGTTTTCAAAACATGACATAAGGTGATTACGTTGTAATTTATTTTAAAGAAGTTTAGATGGTTGGAACTGCAAATAAACATTTAAATTTATTGACTTTGGGGTAATGTATGCTGCCTCAGTTTCCTTCAAATAAATAATACATTAATAATCGTATGTCAAGTTAGAAAAAATACGTTAGAAAAGACATCTTGCCATTATTACTGATACATATAATACATTTCAGCTGATATAGCCACGACTGGAACCATTACAGTTGCCAACGACGCATCCCAAAACACGACACAAATAACAGATGGAGACGACACAACGTGTGCATCAATTACGGGTTCTAATGCATCGCTTGATGTCAACTGGAATTCTGACTTCTACTTCACATGGTTGAGGATTATTGTGAGGAATATAGGTAATTAAATTATATTTCACTTTTAACATCAGTGTTGTCTTAAATTGAACTCTATGCTGCTCATGGGTGTTACAGCATATTTTTGGGGCCACAAAGGAAAGACAAACTTTGGTGAGCATCGGATATTCTTTTCAGGGAAAATGAAAAATTTATGAAAAAAATATTCCTCCTAGTGAGATCTATACATGATCTATTGTCGATGAGGCCGCTATAGACGTCAATAAAGTTTTTAGTAAAAGCCTTATGGCTCCATTGTTAAGTGGCTGTTAGCTGTTGATATTTATGTGCTTTATCTTTTTTTATTCCGATTTCATTATTTCAAACGCTTGTTAATATTAGACAATGTTTCAAATAATTCAATTAGCTATAATGCATAAAGAATTTCAATTGTTATTGAATATAATCTGTCTGTATCTTATTGTCATTTATTGTGACAATATTTTATCTTTTTATATGATTCACCGATTGAAGAACCAAATGTTACTCCCAAAATGTCACAATTAATTTAAAATATTTCAAGGAAAAAAAATAGAACATGTATTTTATGGAATGAGGGTCATAACCTCATTTATAAGAGCACTGAAAGGTTTCTTCAGTAATTGAAGACGTGGAGTATTCATCAGTAGTATATTTTTACATAAAATTACGGAATTAAAAATATTTAAAACAATCTAATATTGATAAGCAATTTTGTTTCCAAAACTGAATGGATATCCATTACGGGAGAATGTCTTTGAAGTTGATAACAAAACAGAAATATCTAATAAAAGTGTTCAAGCTAGATTCCAATCAACCAAACGAGTATTTAGATATCTAATACGATTCCAAATAAGTTTCTTTTACTTTTAGAAAAAAACTATAAAAAAAAAAAAATTGGATTTAGACTTCTACTTCGTGAGAAATCTGGCTTTAGTTAAGTTACTAATTTACATTTTTTTAAAAAAACGAAAAGAAAATAAACACACAAACAAAACTCGTAGCCATCTCATATTAAAAACAGATGTTATCTTCAAAAATCACTTCCATGTGACCAGAGGCGTAGCGAGGGTGTTTGGAGCCCGTGGACAAGATCAATTTTAAAGCACACCCATTTCTTTTTTTCAACTCTCAAACCCATTATTTTAACTATTAATATAATATCAAAGCACATTTTGGCGCCCCTAACTAGCTGACGACCGGGAACATCTGTCCCCCCTGCCCCCCTCGCTACGCCTTTGCATGTGACCATGCATTGAAACACGTTGTTTGTTAGCGTCATTCACCCGGATAAAAAAAAATTAGTTGCATTAATATATGATTAAAATCAAATAATGTTTTCTTGAATTGTTACAAGGATTTTTTATAACATATTTTATTGAATAAAATAATGAAAATTATTTAGAAAACGCTCTTTCAATGACATGTTGTACTACATAATTAACTTAATTAGGCGTTGAGGATTTCTTACATATAAAACTAGAAGCTCTCATATTTTAAAAAAAAAAGTGAAAAAAGGGGGGTGGGGTTAGGGGGAAATTATAGGTTGACATTGGAAGAAAACTTGAAATTAAATAACCTGCGATTTTTTAAAGAATTGTTACTTAAATTATATAGGTTTTTTTGCCAGCAATATAAGAACAGACATTTTATTGACATTAAACATTTTAAAAGTTTAAAAAAATTGGTATATTGGACAATAAATAATTAATCTATAACTAAGTTTTATTTATCATTTACCTTTCATTGTTACATGAGTTCAAATGTACATCTTTTTATGACATGGAATGGAAAATTTAACTGATATAATAACACATATTTTTTCCTTAAATTTTTAGTATTACAAAAAGAAAGCCTTTCAATAAAGTTTCCAGATGGCGTCACATCAGAATGTTCCAACATTTTTGTTGACAACATTACAATGGACATTTATTGCAACGTAACAAAACCAATAAAGAAACTACTTTTGAATGGAGCAGCATTGGGCACATTGTGTTCACTTTATATCAGTCAGGGTAAGATTTACACAATGCATTTATTATAACAAAATCAAATTTCTAAACAAATAATACATAAAATGAGCTTCAACATTTACATTTGATATCTATTTAATCCTAAAATAACAATGTATTCACATGACATTAAAACATTTAGTAACGTGTTAGTTTGTTTTCGTCCATTTAAATCGACCAGACATTTCAAGCATCGGATTCTTGCTCGTTCTGGTTCTGTCTTTGGTTGCGTACATTGCTGATTAGACCGATGACATTTCTTGCTTGTCTTTTGTGTACTGCATTAGCTGTTCACGTTGTATGGAATCTTTTTGTTAGGATAAACACCGCGATTCGAAATCATTTGCTGACCCTTCGCAAGTGTAACGTTGATAACGAACGCTTTTAGTGAAGCTTTCTGATTGTATTTTTTTAAAGTTTGTCTTCTTTCTACCAGCAAACCACAATCTATATTCCAGCTCGAGATAAAATATTATTTTAAACCGGCGGTTCTCTGACATTCTTACAACACATTCTAATTAGTGAAGCTGGATTTACATTTAATGGTAGAGTCTAAAGTGTAGCCCTGCGTGCGCCAATTAATAAATTTTGAGGGCTTTTCTTAGGATTAGTGTCAAATATTAGCTTGGGGAAAAAAGTAGACATGTAGAATTTAATTATTTTTTTTTGCTGTTACCTTTCATAGTCTTATACATATATATATTGCCATATGTTGGAAGGATCTTGTGATACGAAGCTCAACCTCATAAACGATAGTTACGCTTCTGGACAGTGGGCCACCAATTGTGAATATGTGTACCACTTTAAGCTTGTTACCATGTTGTACATGTAGTTTGAATAAAAACCTAAAATTTTAAGGTGACGTGCATGGTGTAGGACCTCAGTATGTTTCTTTTTAATGATGTTTCCAAATATTTTGAAGCTTTGGCGTAATTATTAGCTCTAAGTGATTTGAATAACTGTTTCGGTTTCAGCGTGAATTAGACACTGTTGGCATTTAGAATATTATTTAAATGTCTATCAATACCTTCAATATGGAATTAAGCCTCCTTATGTTAAATAGATTAACAACAGTCCAGTACCTAATACCGATCCCAAAGTCTCCATCTCAGCATTGTGGAAAAGAAGAGTCTGAAAAGCGTTGGTTCCTGAAGACAATCTTGTTTGAGGACATTAGTCACCTGTAATTTTAGACATCTCTCTATTTTAAATGACATTAGTCTCAAGACCATCATGGAATTAACATATAAATGGGCACTAATACTTGCACTGTTTAATTGATATAAAGCGACAGTGCCATCTTAAGGTATGTGCGCTCTAGGCACTGGTCCAGGGCCTAACGCTTCAAGGGAGTCTTTTCGAAGCATCATGCGGCACATGTAATTGAATATGAATATATGAACACATACATATTGATCAATTTTCGCAATTAAATTTGATTTAAAGTTGCTGGACCTACCTCCACATAAATATCAATGAAACAGCTTGAACAGCGGAGTTCTGGATTAGCATTTGGCCAGCGTATAGTTAGAATCATCTTAGCCTATACTCCGCGTGAACAGACACATCCTTGGTGTTTTGGTCTAGTATTACTAATTGTGTTTGATTTGGTGTCTCAGAGGTGTGTCAAATCACCGCAGCAAGTCTTCGAGAAGCAAGTCATAGGTATGCTGGCCGATCAGTAACGTAGATCCTGACTGGTAGGATCGAGCGACCAGGTTTAAAGTTAAGATGCAAAAGTTTTTTTGAATTCAAAGTTTAAACCTCTAAATTGCGCCATTGTTCAAAGACACAATAAGACTCTGTATATTGCCTTTTTAGTTATGACTTTTTACAACGATTTTCTAAGGATCAATCAATCCTTTTTATAAAACACTATAAGAACCTAATAAAGGCTGCAGTCATCGAAACCTGAATGTCCATGAGTTTATAAACCCATATATATATATATATATATATATCTCAGCTATATCTCTTTACAAATCGTCTACAGTTTTTGGCGCTGCGTTCAAGGTAAGGTAGTGTCAACAACAAAACATCACAAACCCGCTCTCGATACTCTGTTATATTTATATTAAATTTTTTTTCAGCCTACGTGTTACAAATGATAATTTATCATCATCATACATAATCATAGTTTATTTATGATAATATTTGAACATTATTATTGATTTGGAATGATTTTGCTTTTTTGTATCAATAAATTAAATTAATCTCTGTTTAACTTTATTTAACGTTTACTTTTATTTTAAATGTGTCTTCCTGTTCATGAGATGATGGGGAGCAGGAACTGTTTGCGCTCCATAAAACCCCGCTGTTTGAACCTGGGGCGAGTGACCCATTCTCAAGGTTCTGGTGGTTTGTGTTTAGGGAACCTTTCCTCTTTTTTTCTATAGTTCCATTGTTGTTAATTTGGCCCTAAAAGGTATTAGAGGATTTATTGAATATGGAGATCTCTACAATACCAAGACCAGAGTGACAGTAAACGTATGTAACAATGTTGGAAGTGTTTGCAAAATCCATTTACTCCAAAAAGCTGTAATTTAAAAAATATCAAATTTAGAGCGTATACGCTTCAATAATATTGTTTTAATCAAACACGTTTTCAAGAAATGTACTTTGTTTTACTTATGCACACTTAGCAACCCGCGATAAAAAAACATCCCTTTTCGATCAGTATGTAACAAGTGACCTCCACTGACCTTTGAGTGACCACTGCGGATCAAATACCACTCATCAAATTAGATCAATTTCTTGATCTCCAAATGAGAAACTTTGAACACTTACCCACCCCCGATGACAGTACAACCCTCCATGACTAGTGGGTCGCTAGTGACCTAAACTGATAATTGAGTGACATCTGTGGGTATCCAAGGAACGGAAAGTGATAGGGACAACACGTTACATCGTTTCATAATGCATTTTTACACGGTCTGCATAACAAATAATAACGACAACATAGTTTGTAGACACAAAAATGCCACGATAGAAGCCTAGATTTTTCACACTTTTATTGTAGATGCTTCCTAAATCACCTAAAAATATGACCCGATGTTTCCGATACAATAATGGTAGGCATTTTGCGATATATCTGACATTCCTATCTTTACATATATAACTGACACAGGTTTTGATGTTTTGTATAGTCCTAAAAACAACAAAAAAAAACCCACTAATATTCATCGCCCATTCAATTTATATTTATGAATGTGTAAATAAGATTTCCTTATATTGAAAACAAAAAATTCAATGTAATGATGTTTATGGTTCTAAAATCATTTAGTTTTGATAAATATTTATAAAATATGTAATATATGCTTCCCTACCTCTTTCGGGCCCCTGACTCATTTCATTTTTCTAAATATGTGTAAAAAAATATCCTTACATTTACAAAAAAAAATCGATATACCATTTTAAAAATATTTTAAATTAACTGCATTATATATACTGGTATCTTCAAAAGTAACCAAAATTTATCTTGAATTTATACTATATTGTCATAATTTTAAAAAAAAATAATTAAAGTCTTTTATTTAAGGAAAATCTGTTAAATATTGAGATTTTCACTTCAAAAAAGAATAATAAAAAATAATTCTTTCTAATGTATACCGACTTAAGTTCATTTAAAAGTATACATTTAAATGATTCTTTGATATTAATACTTTTCGAAAACTGGATATAAAAAATATTTTAATATTTTAAGGAAACCCAACTTTATTTACTGCAACAAAATGGAAAAGGAAAAGTAATATGGCTCTAGTTCTAATATTAAGTTTAACTCCTTTGTCGCAAGCTGTTTTAAAATCATTGAATTTAACGCTATTGGCTCGCGACATTAAATTTAGTTCTTGTGAGATTATTATAATTGTATTTCTTTAAGCTCAATCAAAAATTTTAATTTGATGTTTGAAAACATTTGAATAACAAAAAATTTATTTTAATTTCACAATATTAACAACAGTATCAACCAAAAATAGATTTTTAGGTTTTTCTAATAAATGTAAATATAAATTAATAACAGTAATACATCTATGAACATTTCTTAATGATTTAGTAGCCTAACTCCTACATTTACTCAAAATAGCTTTTGATTTGTGTAATTCTTCTGGAACTATGTGTAACTGACATGTAAACGGTCAGATATTTACTAATTATTAATTAAATGAATTGTTATGAAAGCATGGGGCAATTCAGAGCAGCCTTTCATTTCATCGCCAGAAACTTTAATTCAATTTAATGGTTTACAATTCGCAATATAAATATATGTCCAAACTGGAACAAAATAACTGTCATGAACTTATTTAATAATAATAATAACTAGATATAGCCCACCAAACTTGGAGAAAGCAATGTTGAGAACTAACCATCTAGTAATTTACTTGACAAAACTTGAACTCAGGTAACGAACATTTAAGAATCCCAATATTTACAACACCCTTTACCCCATGACACGTCACTGCACAATTTTTATTTCACGCCCATGAATTATATAAATATTCTCATGGCCCAACCAGTTTTAAACCGAATATATTTTACACAATACTTAAATTGAGACGATTTCATTTCCGAAAATAAAATATTACGCACCAAACGCAATTGCGTTATTTAAAAAAAAAATATTTAGATCATTTAGCTTAGTTATGGGGAATTATATTTTGCGCGCTAGTGAACTCATTATTGAACTACACTCTGGCGTATTTCTTCTTCTTCTATATCTTAAGGGCCCACGATCAATTTATTGATCATTTTGGCTCCTATGCATGTAGATGGGATTTGCAATGTTTCTGTTACTGGTGGTGATGAGGAAATTATGCACTAGGGGATATTTCTTCTTCTTCTATATCTTAAGGGCCCACGATCAATTTATTGATCATTTTGGCTCCTATGCATGTAGATGGGATTTGCAATGTTTCTGTTACTGGTGGTGATGAGGAAATTATGCACTAGGGGTTTGAAGGCTTGAGGCAATAGACACAAATGTGTCTAGTGTTGTCGCCTCAACTGTTCCTTTTGAAAGATGATTTATATATAGTCTGCGTGGTGGTGGTAGTGTTTGACCTTTGCTGGTGATTTAATATTATTTTTATGTATAAATTTATTTGATTTCCGTAAAATAAAAGAAAACCGCTGTCATACATTTTAAGATCCGAAGGTATTTAAATTTATTTATTTTTAAATCCTTATATCGTTATTCCCGCTTTTTCTTATTTAGCCTATATGGTTCATTATTCCAATTTGTGTTTTACATGTTTTTTAAGAAGAGTATAAAATAAATCATTATAAAAAATAACTTTAAAAAAACACACATTTTATTTTTTAAATTTAAAAGTTAACATTATTAATGTTCCCCCAAATTATAGTTATTACAATCATAACAAGAAAAATGCGTTGCGCGCACTTGAACTTAATGCTATTTGCAAACCGAAAAGGAATTTACACAATTGGATCGCTAATTTCATTCTACTTGTGTCTGAATTACTACTTCCTAAAAATAAATTTCATAGATAATTATATCATAAGGGTTTAAATATTTATACTTTATGTTGAATTATATTGTAAGATTTATAACACACAAAAAAAACACTGGAACAAATAGAAGGGTTTATGCATTTAAGAGGTAGGTAGGAACGAAATGTGATTTTTTTATTGCAGTGTTAAGAGTGGTTCAAATCTTCTTTATTATTATAAAACTCTTCCTAAAAAATTCCTTCTTTACATATCAATGAGTTGTTTTTATAGGTTTGTATGCCAAGAATAAAGCATGGTTGGAGGTTCTAAGATAGGTCCAATAAACGTTATATACAGAATCGGGTCAACAGAAACTTATGTAACATTATGTGGGCTTTAAACGAATGAAATAAATTAGTCATCAGCAACTCATCAATCTCAATAAGAATAACTTTGAAATCGTAGACCAAACAGCTTAAAATTGGTGACAATAAAAATTAATCAATTTCAGATCGAAATGTAGCCTTGATGCAGTCCACAAATCAAACATCACAGTATGAGTACGCTAACTTATCCTCAAGTAATGCTGTAGACGGTAGCTCAAGCTGGGAAAAAAACTCTTGCATCCATACTAATAACGGTGGTGAGGATGCTCCGACATGGTCTCTACATTTTAATACAGTGGTGTCAGTGACACGTTATAAAATATTCAACAGAGTTGGAGGTATGTAGATTATTTAATTTCAAATATCAAATGTTTTTTAAATGTATTACGTTTCTTAGTGACCAAGAAAAACACATTTCTGTTTCACTTAACAATAACAATATTTATGAATTAATTATTGGTAAAACATTATTATTTCCAAATATTTAAATATTTAAAATTAAAATTAAAAAGAACAACTTGTCATTATGTGACAACAGCCCCAAGAAAGTTGAGACACGTGAATCTCATTCGTGTTGACTGGGTGTTAAGTTTGTTAGTGCACTGAATTATAAAAAATAATTTAATTAATTAAAAAATCTTAATTTGGTAAATTCATTTCTTAAGTTCTTCTTACCCTTTTATCACATATTGGTTTACATTTTTTTTTAAATAGTTTGAAGCACATCTCCTAATATTAGTGTGGTGTATTTGTTTTTAAGAAGGGAAAAACATTATCAGTTTTGTAACACAATTTATTAACTTAATAAAATTAAAATCTTGTGATTTTAAGGTTTATATTAAGTTTTAAAATATTATTATAAATTTTCTTTCTTTGAGTTAAACAGATTTGAATTTTAAATTCTTTCAAATGTCTGTAACAATTTTTTGGGTTTACCCCATAAATGTGATTTTAAATTAATAATAAAATTAATACATTTACCATATTTTTAATAATAAAAATAATATCTTAACTTTCAAATTTGGATTAATAATTAGAGTAGTTCTTTAAATTTATTTGAAATTTGTTTCTAATTGATCAAAATAAATACTTAAATATACACATATATATGTTTTTAAAATTATATTTAATTGATTCAATTTCAGTAAAAGAACAGAATCAGAATGTATTTATACTGTTATACTTTTTAGCAATATATGGATACCTTAGGACATCTTTATATAGTTATAATTGTGTTATTTTTCATCAAAGAAGTAAAAGATAATGATACAAGTTGTTGTCTTGACCGCCTGAAAGGATTCATTCTTAGAACATTTGACCAAACAAATAACATTGTCGAAGACTACACTGATACTGAGACATCAGCTTTGGAGGTGTACAACGTTTTATCAACAAATCCTTCGGCACCAATTTCAACGGTTCAAATAACAGCTCGTTTTAAAACAATTCAATATTATAAAATTATTCTCACTTTGTGTGAAGTCGAAATTTATGGTGGTAAGTTTCCCGTAATATATGTATTTAAAATTTAATTTATTCAAATAAGATTAAATAAGTATAAATAAGCTATAAATTTAAAATTTCTCTCGTCATTAAAACAGAGTAGAAAGCAATTGATATTGAAAAGACAATCATACATTCTTCATTAATTGTATACAGACGGAATTAATCCCTAAAACCATTGGATAAATAAATCATATTATTTGCCTTTTTTAGTTACATCCTAATTACAAGAGATCAGTTTTTTGTTTGATTTTAATACTTTGATGATCGGCCTGGTATATTATATTGTTAAAAAGTCTATTCTATGAGGCCTTTGTATTAGTAGAGCAAAAACGCAAGTACAATTTAACAATTTAAATTTTGATTTAATAACCAATTTGAATTGCCATCAAAAAATGAAAACAAAAACAATGGTAATGAAAGAAATGCAAAAGATAAGAGGAAACGACCAACAAGAAAGGTATGAGCAAAGTAATCCGAATTAAGAAAGCAATAGGATTTTTTGCTTGAAGTAAATAAAATTACCAAATTCGGATAAAGACAATAATTATTTATAATTTTTAACACAAAGGTTGGGCCGTTATGGTTGCTGATGTAGTTTTACAGTCTATATAAGTAATTTAATATTATAAATGCGAGTCAAACCTTTTATATTTTTGGGGGATTTTTTAAACTAGATTAATTTAATTTTTGGGGGGAAATAAGGTTAACATTGAGGACTGAGCCGAGACATTTAACTACACCTGGACTTACTCTATGTTTTTCATTATATGTATGGCATCTTTCCGTCTGCAGGAGACGATAGATTATCTTTATTGCTTGCAGCTCTTGGTGTGGCTGGTGAGACCAATCCTCGAATGGAAGTCTCTGTTACATTTCCCACACACGAATGCGGTGGAGCAGTATTTACCGGCCTTCCTCCTCGCCCTTTTTGCAACTGTTTCCACCCTGTTTTGATCCTAGGCATGTAGTGATCCTGCCTTTACGATGCCCCACCATGAGGATCGATCCTCTGCCAGCTCCTCCCAGTTTGAGATGTCGATGTTGGCCGACTTCATGTCTCTTTTGCATATGTCTAAGTATCTCAGACGCAGCCGTCCAACTGACCTTTTCCCTGTCGCCAGCTCGCTGTATAGCACGTCCTTTGGTATGGGACCAGATTGCATTCGCTTGATGTGTCCAAGCCAGCGGAGGCGTCTTTGGATTAACATGGCTGGGGCGCGACACGTGTTTGTTTGGGACATGACATCCGTGTTGGGGCCTTTGTGTTGCCATTTAATGTCAAGGTTGTGGCCTAGGCATCTGAGGTGAAAGCCATTGAGCCTTCTTTCGTGTTTAGAGTATGTGGTCCACGACTCGCAACCATAAAGAAGTGTGCTCAGTACGCGGGCCTGGTACACCTGCAGCTTAGTTCTTGTTGTTTGTTTGGCGTTTGACAAGACTCTTTTCTTCAGTCTGGCCATAACAGTTGCGGCCTTCCCTATCCTCCCACTTATCTCATCCTCCATTGAGAGGGTGCTCGATATGTTGGATCCCAGATATGTGAATCTGTCAACAGTATCCAAGTCGTAGTCGTCGATGGCGATAGTGGGGAGGGAGTCAGCGCCCTGTGCAATAATGTTAGTTTTCTTTAGGCTAATTGTCAGGCCAAACTCTTTGCAGAAAATAATATTTTTCCATTATATATATTAAGTAATATATTAAAAAAATAGTCAACGCTATTGACAAATAATTCCGGTTCATGAGTCGCTTGGCAAAAAAGCAGTGACATCTCACCAAATTTTCTCATTTTTAAAATGTTTCTCTATGATTTTTATTCCTGGATAGTTGGAGTTTGTTCAGTAGCTAAGCTTTTCACTCATAACAATCAATCAGCGAACTGCGGATAAAGAAATACAACAACATCACAAAATTCTACGAGATCTCTATCAGCTGCATAGAAAGCTCTGCACCGGACTATCTTAATAACACACGTTAAGCAGGTTTAATTTCGAAACTCTACCCGGAGCGGTCACCAGCGGGGGCCCCAAAGTCATTTTTCCTAATATAAGCAATATAAATATGAATGGGCTTAACACTGCTACATGAGTATATGGATCTTGACCAAACTAAGTACATATACTCTTTATCCAAATTAAAATACCGATAGGCACTAAACTCATAATACCCATACCTCTGTGGCTTGGGGCCCCATTTTAGTTTTTGTTATATAAGCTATATAAACCAACTTCCCCTGAAATTTGGCAGGCTTATTCCTTACACCTTACTTACAAAAGTTAAGCAGGTGTAATTTCGAAAATGTTCCCGGAATGGTCACCCTAAGGGGCCCAAATTCAATTTTTTCTTCTTAATATGAGCTGTATAATTAAAATTAACAACACATACTGCTTTATGAATGGATGAATCATGAAAAAAACTTAATATACCTATATTTGATTATCCATATTCAAATACCGAAGGGTAATTAACGTATACTATCAAACCCTCTGGGGCCGGGGGCTCCATTTCATTTTTCCTTACATAAGGAATATAAATATCAATAGGCTTAATACTCCTACATGAATAGATAGGGCTTTACCTAACTTAATACACATACTCTTAATTATCCATATTCAAATACCGAAGGGTACTGAACTCATAATATCCATACCTCTGGGCCCGGGGGCCCCATTTCATTGTTCTTCTTTAAGCTATATAAATATCAATAGGGGAAGACAACAATTTAGGTTCTATGTGAATAGGTTTATCTAGGCCTAGCTTTGTAGTAATACCCTTCTTAGTTTGTATTAAAATTTGGGTGGATTTAAAATAATATTATTCAATCAATTCGGACTGATCTAGAATTTTCTAGAATCTTCGATAGTTTCAACAAACTATATCTATGGAATTTTTAAACCAATTTTAATGGGACACATTTTAAATCTATAATATATCTGAATGATTTTTATTGGACCCCCCATCTCAGATATAACTAAAGCGGCACTTTATTAAATGGACCTCCACTGGGATCCTATATCAATTTAAAAGTGCAATAGTTAAAGGTGTAAAATTTAGTTGTATAATATTTCGAATTCGAGATAATAATTATGTAGAAAATTACTTTTTTCTTTTTTACTTTTTTCATTGAAATTCTCTGTGGTATCGTCCTTTGTTGGGCACTGTTTAAACGAGCCATAAATTTAAAATAGTAGATTAATTTTGCACAAAAGAAGCCATTGCGTAACAATAAGATCTAAACGCGTATTTAAACTAAATCGCACTGAGCATGACCCGATAGTAAAATGGGACCCATCGGTTACGCAATTCCATCGGGGAACAGGATACCTTCGAGATCCCATCGGGTAACGGGATCAAACCGGGATCAGGATCCTATCATGGAGAGAGATAACATCGTAAAAGAGCGCGCCTAGGTGGAAAGGGATCCCACAGAGAATGGTATCCTAACTGGATCGGTAGCCCATCGGGATCCACTGAGATCGGGATCCAACTGGGACCAAGACACCGACGGGATCGGGATCCCAACGGGATCTAGATTCCCCCTGGATCTAGAGCCACAAGAAAATAGGATCCCACCGGAATGGGATCACACCGGCAAAAGGGATTGCGCCGATTTCGGGTTAGGAATGGGATTAGGGACACATTAGAATTTGGGTCTTACCAGGATCGGGGTCCCAAGGACAGACCCTAAAAAAGTTGGCATTGATTTGAGGCAAGATTGATTTTCGCAAAGGAATGCATTGTATAGTCTCTGGAATATGCGGATACTTGATAATTTGGTACCTTTTTTTCTTTAAAAAAGGCACCCAGCTGCGAAGCGCGGGTATTTTGCTAGTATGTCATAAGACCAACGGCGGTAAGAACTTTTATGTATTACACAAACGCACAAGACACACCGTGCACAAGAAATAATATATGATATTTGTCACCTTGCATGTGCTGGTTGGGTTAGTCGTCTGCATTTCCCAGAATCTGGATCAGTAACTCTGCTCGCCATTATTATAATATCAGATGTTAACTTTTTTACGTTTGTGGGGTTGGGGGTGTAATGGGTATATAAGGTGGCGCAGATTATTTTCCTTAAAAGTGTGTATATTTGGCCCTGCAAGCACTGGTATAGATCAGTCAAAGTCCAAGTGTTATTGAAGACGCAAAGACACATAGTACCAGGAATGTACAAGGAATCAATTAAGATGGGAAAGTTCGGGAAAGGGTTAGAGAAAATATGAGAAAATATATTGTTAATGGCCTATGCTTCACTGGAGGAGTTAAAAATGCGATGAAGAATAACATAATATATAATGATATATTATTATAAAATTATTACACTTATAAGACTACTATTTTCGTTCAAAGAGTGTTTCGCTACGTAGGAAGTAGGCCTCAGTGGTAGTCAACGGTCACATTATTACGGAGATATTGATTCATTTATGTTAAAAGCAGAGCTGGAAATAAACTCTTTCTATGATTGGCTAGGTCATTTCAATTTTTTTAGGTGATTAAGTTGGTCATTTATTAGAATAAAATTGAGAAACAATCTATTACGGGTAGTTGAACTACGGGTAATCCATAAATTAACAAAACTAGTGCAATAAGACTATGTTCACTAGTGCTATAATGATCTGTAAACTCTGCTGGCAAAGCTTTTTAGCATGAACTGAATCGTAGCTAAGTTTATGCCATAGAAGACCATATAAATAAACTGGCTTCATGATAGTGTTAAAGCAAGATTAGATACACAAAAAGAGCACACACAAAAATTGCCTCTGTGTATATATTATTATTAGACAGATTTAAATTATAACCAATATTTTGAAGCTATTTATTTAATGTTAAACTATAAGAACATTATTCTTTTCAAAAACAAGAATTAAAGACAACATTGTCCGTAATGGATGTCTAGGGGATGTCCAAATTGATACAAATGTGGAAACTGGCCATATGAAACACATTGTCTTAATATAATCTAAACTCTCAGCAACCTAAACCTAATAACAATTTACTTTTGCCTATGGTCCCGAATACAGTTATGGGGGATAATAAGGACGAAATAATTTTAGATACTTTTCGTTGTTTAAAAAATTAGTGCTATAATCAATCGTTTTTTAAATGTGCCTACTTATTATTTAAAAAAAAAAAAACTCTTAATTCAGTTGATTGTAAAACTACACATTTACGCACACAATTGTATTCTCAGATTCATTGTGTTTGCAGCACAAATATGGCCGTGATTGTGAAAATGTCTGTAACTGTGCTGTAGAAACTGAAAAGTGTTTTGTTAGTACAGGAAACTGTCCGTCTGGATGTAAGGCTGGACTTTATGGTGAAGGATGCAAAAAACGTAAGTTACTTTGCATATAATAATTTGGAAAACTTTCTGATTTATACATGTAATTGATGTATTTGTATCAAAATTAGCTCAGACTTACAACTTTACCAAGATTTGTTCGAAAGGAATAATAGTGAATCATTCAAATATTTTTTTTTTTAAAATTAAGTAAAATTTCACGATTATTGTTAATTTTCTGACGTATAAAAATCAACATGAGAAAGGTATACATTTTTTCAACATAATTTCTATTGGTTTTAATGCCAATGGTAAAATGCTAATCAAATAAATATTTATTTTTATTTGGTGGCTAAAACGAATATACTTATATCGCTTTCAATTTTATCTTTCTTTAGGTTGTGACGCTGGCTACTTTGGAATTGATTGCGGAAAAATATGTAGCAGTAGTTGCTCAAGTCAACAATGTGAGGTAGTAGACGGAAACTGTACCAGCTGTGCTTTAAAAGGGAAAAAACTACCATCCTGTACAGAAGGCATGCATAAATTTATTAGAGACAACTTGAATTTCTGTTTTCTCAAAACTTTTTTAGGAAATTGTAAAGGATGATTTGAAACGTAAATTAATTTTTAAAATAATTTCAACATGTTATAATTAACTATTTCTGTGAAAACTCTTACACATTTGATTTAAAATATGTACGAGTTAAGCTAAGCTAATTAATTGGTTCAGCTATCTAAAAATTATGTTATAAAGATTCTAAGATTCTAGATTTAAAGGACAATATTTCATTTAGTGAATAAGACTTATTGATTAGACTTTAGTCAAATACATGAAATACAAATCAAATAAAACCTTTATATATATAGTACAAATGTATTTAACTTAAAATAACATTTCCAATTCGAGTTATTTACTTTAAACATATTAAAAATATATATAAATATTCATGTGTATTCCATATCTTTTTCAAGACAATCTATTTTTTAAACTAGTCTTAAATTACAGATTGTGATCCTGGCTTCTATGGAAGTGAATGCAAGTCAAACTGTTCACAAAATTGTTTTCAAACTGGTTCTATTTGTGACGCCAAGGAAGGGACATGTTTTGGATGTAAACCTGGTTTCTACGGTTCCTTTTGTATCACGCCTTGTTCATCCAACTGTAAAGATTCATTGTGTGATGCTGTTAGTGGCACCTGTGAATTTTGTACATCTGGATACTTTGGAAGTATCTGTACCAACGTGTGTTCCAAAAATTGTAAAGATTACATTTGCGAAATCAACTCTGGGAACTGTTCTAACTGCAAATCTGGTTTCTATGGCGCTAATTGTACGTCATCTTGTCCTACCAACTGTAAAAATTCAATCTGTGAGATCAACTATGGTATATGTATAGGATGTAATGTTGGCTACCGAGGTGATAAGTGTGATGAAGGTTAGTAAATTTATGTTAATTGATAAATAATATATTTTACATCAAGCAATGTGAATTAACATATTAAAGTCCAAGGTTCAATGGATCACATTGTATAAAAATTAAATTAAATAATTCGTGCTAATATTCAGTAACGATTGGAAAAACGAAACAAAACATTTGAAGACAAAATAATATGAAATGTAACTATTGAGAATGAAATTAATTGGTTAGATTACAACATGTGTAATTACAATTTGGAGTTAAGAGAAGAATTAATCGATTCTTTTAAAACATTTCTCAAGGTGTTTTTATAACGCATGTCTGTAAATCAAATCATTACCTATATCTACACATCATTAGATTTAGTCAAAGTAGCACAACTAATATGCTTAAGCATTTTACATGTAAGGCTTTTACATCTATGACTTCGAAAATTTGCTGACGATGCAGACAATGTAAAAGAATAAAAATCCCCTGGCAGACAATGTCGGTTTCAGGGTGAGGACGATTCATATTAAATTGTTTGTATATACATATCTCAACAAAAATTTGGCAACTGCAAAGTCATCGACAAAACGATTTACAATGCTATAGAATGAATGGCTAATGTAAAAGTATTTCAAGTTATACTAACATGTCTCGATTGTAATGTATTTATCTTGACCTTGCCAATTGACTTGCAATGATGTTGTGCAAGGATTTTACAGCTGAATAAAACATTTTAAAAAATCACCAGCTGCAATACCCTCCCTGTTCCCGTTCTTCTTTGGCTCCTAAGATGTTAAATGAAATTTAAAAAAAAAAAAAATTCTGAAAAGACTGAAAGAAAAATACAATTCTCCATTAACATCATCAATATTTGTTTTCCCACGAATGAAAATAAATAGAAAAGTTCACAATAAGTGTTAAGTTCTGACACAGTTACGGGGTGCAAGGATGACACAACTCTGAAAAAAATCAGGATTTGAAAAGTTTGTATGGATACTGGGATACAATTTTACAGTAAAAGCCTTTTGTTTTTAACAATTGCTCAATTTTTAAACTGTTGAGACGTGTAATTACCTCTCTGTGAATATTTTCTGCACGGAAGTGAAGAAGTTTTTTTTTTTTTAAGCAAATAAATTTTGCCAACTGATCCATTAGATAAAGATTTGCAATTTCTACTGTTTAGTTGAGTTTGAGTTATTTTATTGAAATATTATATTCTAATGAAACCTGTTTAGCTCATCATCAGGAGCACCTTGAAAAATAATTTTGCAATGCCTAACGAAATTTGCCAGAGACAACCACTGTAACATGTTTTACCAGTCGTTGATTTTCCTTGAAGTCTTGTAGAATTTTGTCATTTGCATTATAGACAGTCTAATGACTTGTGGATAATCATATATTACATTAACAGCGTGCTCATTATTTAATCTTCCACCCAACTGAGCACAGCATGATTCCAAAATCTGCAATATTCTAAAACGGAACTGGTCAGGGCATTGTGGTGAAACCATCAATATAAAACTGGTATAGCCCTTTTAAAACAAGACCCTTGTCATATAGAAGAAAAAGTCTTAGTCATTATTGATTCCAATACAAAACAAAGATGAAGCTTTGGCTAGTTTTTTAATTAAATTTTCCAAAAAGGAATTATTACCAAGTGCGAGGTTTTAAAGTAGAAGCCGCAAGTTTAACCTGCTTCCAGTTGTGATGAAATTTTATTCAGGTTGCTGTCAAAGTGCAAGCTCAAGGTTTAAAACACTTTCATGAAAATTTATGGAGAAAATGGTCTAGGCTAACTTTTTTGAGAATTGCAACACAATTTCAAGAATCTAATTTGTTTGCAAATAAGTATAAAATGTAGTGATTCGGTAACGCTTCCCCTTGAGATCAGGCTTGATGAAGTAACTTTGTAGTGTCATTAGATAAATAACGTAACAGAATATTTTTTATCTTACACAAATTAAAACATACGAAGCATTGCATGTCTTGAAATGTCTTTAACAGGGTATTTCAATTACCATATTTTGCAATGCTGAAATTTAGACAAGTCTTTTAGAGCAATCTTAATGTTTTTTGTTTAATAAAAACTGTTCTTTTATTTTTTGAACGTTTTTATTCTGATAAAGATTTCACATATTTAGTAACCATTTTGATTTTTGGTTTCCTCAGTAGTAACATCAAATACCGGTACATTAAGTAATGGTGACGATAACCAGACGACAGTTATAGGAGCAGTGGTCGGTTCTATCTGTGGACTTGTTGCTTTGCTAGTTCTTGGCACAGTTTTCTTCTTTTGGAGGTAAGACAATATAGTAGATTTCACGATATAATGAAATCAGACTTAAGACATTCTCAAATGTTAACGAATTTAATTATATTGATGTACAGTATGTGACAAAGTTGTACCATTTAAACTCCCGCATCTCTATCACGTGTATGTGTATCTCAATTGCTCATCTAGCTGCCACGTATTCCTAAAATTGAAAATGGTGATTTGTTCGGCAGTTGTTATTGGCTATGTGTCTCTTAAATGTGTTAACTAAAAATATTCATCGCTGGCATTTATTTTCGCTCTTTTGTAAGTAGTTGTGAAAGGAAAAATATTTGAAAAGGAAGCCAGGACAATTTCGACTTAGATTTACGAAGACAGCATCAAGTAGTACGTGTTTCAAGTGCAATCTTTTCAGTGCTGTTACTTTTGGGGTATACTGTACTAGGTGATACTAACCAACCGTTAGATATTTTCCGAACTTACCAAGGTATTAATAGATTAATAAAAGGAAAAGGATTTATTAAGCCTGAAATATAAAACACAACAATTTCAAAGACATTAAGCTGAAAACTTTTCTTCAAATAAAAGATATTTCCATTTGGTATTGACCAATTAAATTATTTTCAGTGATTTTCAATTTCATTCCATTGTTATGATTACATTTTGAAAGTTGGGACTTCCAATAAACCATACAACCTGTAACCATTTTTGATACAAATGCAATAACCTCAGCTGCTTTATCTTAGTTGATATCGAGTGACGTTAACTAATAATTTTGCACATGCTCCATTCTCATGAAATAATAAATTCGTATTTTCTTTCATCAATTATTTATTTTCTAAAACACATAATAATGAAATAATATAAAATTTTGATGCACTTGTGATTCTGATTAGAATATTAATGAAATATATTTTGGAATAAATCAATTTCCCTTTAGAAATAGCATGTCAAGTCACTAATACATTAGATTTGTTCTCTTATACTCTACAACATGTGATCACTCGTGAGAAAAAGTCTTCTTAAATGCTTTTCCATGCTATCAATTATGGCCATTAATAAAGTTCCTTACTACCTATGATTCTTTACGCGCATTTCTAATGCTCTACATGCACACGGAGTCGCATTCATGACGATACTGATGACACAAGAAGCATCGATGTAATGGGATGCCCATGGTCTAAGCATTAATACAGCAACTTTCCGACCAAGAATAAGTAAATACATACAAAAGTAATATTAATAAAGGAAATTTACAATTTAAGCCTTCTAACATGCCACTGGAGAAAGTCAAAGTATAGATCTAAATATCATGATGGGAGATTAAAAGATTTGACAATAAAACAGTTCTTCAATCAACAAATTCCTGATACCCTGGCTGAGTAGCCATTGCAACCAATTGAAATATTCTTTTTTTATCTCGCGAATCCTTTATATGCATGTCGAATCACGGATGCCTTTAAAGGGGAATCAGTCAAGGATATCTTTATCCCCCTCCCCCTTTCTATTCATGGGGCCCATTGACTCATTCTCCCGTTTTGTTTCACAAATTCAGCATGCACCCCAGGGGGTGGAGGGGAGCATTTTGAAGATTATAGGAGACAATTGATTTCCGGAGAAATGAATTAAAATTGTTAAATGGATAGTTTCAAACTTTCATGGGGTTATTAAAACTTTCTTGTGCACAGGTAAAGAATGGGCCAAAAATGTTCAGTATCAATTTATTAAAAGAGCACTGTTTTACAATGAACTACCTGGTTTTTTTAAGTCTTTTATGTGCCTGATATAATTGTTCATTAGTTCTAATCCTCAGATCACTATTTACTTTCTGACAGCTACAGCTATTTACTATCATCTTCCTCGTACAATGAATCTTGCAAGGAGTACTATTCCTTTTCTTAACCACTTCTTCTAAGTCGATTTTGTCAATTTGATTATAGAGGTTGGGACAATGAACTCGAGTTAATTGATCGGAAACAGGCTTTTAATCAGCCCTTCGTTTGGTTAAAAATATAATGTCTTGTCGGCAGTGACAGAGAAGAAAGGACTATATTTTTACCTATCGTCCACATAATCTTTCAGTCAAATGTGTGTGTTTTCTTGAAAGGGCATGCATTCCCTCAGAAGTCCCTGACATCTACAGCATTTTCTCAAATCTCATCCCTCTCCTTGTGTTCAAAATTGGAAAGAATTTTCGCGAACTCCATTTTCGTTGTCAAAATTGCATAACCCATATCTCGTTTGGAATAAGCCATATGGAAGCAGCCGTTGCTAAAGTCAGAACGTGACCATTCTAAAGGGCAGTTTTAAGATATTGAACTGTATCTTTTGCACATCCTGTAATTTTTTCTACATCTTTATTTGTACCAGCTGCAATTTGGCGTGCATTTTAAAGATTTGTCTGCGACTTTTATTCAGATGCACTAAACATTTTCGCAAAATAGCGCAAGTAATTATTAATAATTTCCTGTCTTTCTTTAATAGTAACGAGCACAAAGCTTTCTCATACTATCGTTTTCTCTACAACATGCCCGCCAGAGTGAATATGGAAAACATTTTTTTTTCTTCGCACTCAACATTTTGCAACTAAATGGCATGGACCACCTTTTTTAGTCTCTCCCCCTTTCCTTTTATTAATTTCCTTAACTCATACTAGTTATTTACCCATGTCTTGCTGGGATACCACATGTAAACTAAGTTAATGTTTAATTTTTTTTTCTTTTTCTGTGCATTTTACTGACGAAGGCTTCATATTGACACATTCGTTGTTTTTATGTGTGCCTTTATTAAGGGTTCCGTTACTTTGTTGTAAATATCACTACAGACCATCTCTAATTTACCACAAATTAGATACGTGTAATATTAATTAATCAAATACGTATGCAACAGCAAATAACTTTAAAGTAAATAACGGCTTAAAACCATTAGTTAAATATCATTAAACATTGAGTCATCTTGCATGTACGTGTTAATTACTTCTAATCTTTTACGCATTATAAATTTCAACGCACAGTGTGCCCCATTTAATTTTCTCTATGATCCATCTTCTTAACCGACTATACTACTTTTCCTTCACCATATTCTTGCGCTTATTTACAGACGGCATAAAAGATCCGATCAAAGACCAGGGCGACAAAGCACAAATGTAGACAATCAAGTTATTGAAGCTGATTCCTCAGATCACGTGACTTCTTTGCCAACACTAGAAAATGAAGAAATTAAAGTATCTGGTAGGTATAATCTAGTTATCACTCAAAAAAAAAAAAAAAACTTGGATCAAGTTCAACAATTAGGTTACAATATTGATTTGTTGTTCTTTTTTGAATTACGCAAGTTTCTACTATCCTGGTTTGAAACCCATGGGTCGTCACCCATATAGAGTTTCGGAGGATTCTCTAAGGGGTCACCGAATGATACAGTTTTAATGATTTCTTAACGCTTTTTAAAAATATGTTGTTGTCTCGGATTCCTCTGCGTCTATGCTTATGATGTCAAATCATAATGTTTTAGTCGCATGCTTTCTGGAGATATTTAATTCTATAGTGACAGCTGCCTACTTGAAACAAATTGAATAAAGCAAGGATTGCAATATCTTATGAAAGCCGAAAGGCAGTTATAGATATGTTAAAAACTACTTAAAACGAACCGCTTAGAAAACATTGTTTAAATAATGATTTCATTTATTCTTATAACACAACGTGTATATTTTGTGGCTTCTTTCTTTTTTTTATCTTTAAACCTGTACTTAACAAGGCGGCTCGAGATAAAGCTTTTTGTCAATTAAAAGAACGTCACCTTAACGTTAAATACACTTAAAAACTTTGCCACGTTCTACTAGATTTTATATCAAATCTTTAAAAAAAAGTATGTCCAGTCCAAACTTCTTGCTTTTAGATAATTAATGTTTGTCAAATTATTTATGTACCGGAAATTTCGAAAATTATAAATCCACTTTTAAAAAATCACATTATCGTTGAAGGTCTTAACTAGAACTTTTTTTTCTTTAAATTTAAATTACTGATCTTTGGAACAAGTTGTCATAGTCTGATGAATTTAAATAATACAGTGAAACCTACAGTTCCTCAAAAGCCTAAAGCCTTGACAGTTGTACATAAGAAAACCCCAGAAGAAAAGGGAACTGGATATTATAACACAGTGACTCTACAGCCTGTAACGTCATCAACAGTTATCACGTTGTCTAATCTACAAAGTTACCTTCTCACTCATAGTAAAGAGTATCTTCATGAACAGTTTAAAGTAAGTCAATATCGACATGTTGGGAATTTGATAATTTTTTATTTTTTATAAAAAGACACCATCATTGCTTCATTACAGACGCCTTTCATTAGCATTTTATTGTTAACAAGTAAAAAACAAAAAGTAAGTCTGTAAATTAATTTTCTTTATCATTTTCTCAAAATGTTTCATTGTAATTTTACATTAATGCCAAAAAATAATGTAATTTCTTTTTATGAATTACTCGATTATAATAAAAAATAAATAACGGTAGCTTTTATAAAAACAATTTTCACAATATAATTTTAGATTGCTGTCAATATTCAGATAATTTGTTTAGTCATAGGTGTGACATCCTAAAACGATGAATTAAAATATGGTTGTTTTCATTTATAGTAGACGTATTGAAGGAATGTTGCTTTTGAGATTTTTAAACATATTTTTATTTATTTATATTTATTTAATTCAAGGGAATGAGCATTTTAAAACTGCCAGTTGGTAAAACTAAAACACATTTTGTTAAGGAAAATATATAAGAGACTGCCTTGAAGCCATGAAAAGTAAACAAGTAGTGTAACACTATCCTTTTAGACTTGATACTATAAGACCAGACATATAAGCCTAGATTTATGCAAAATGCCTTTTTCAACACACAATACAATAAACACAGATAAATATAAATTTAAAATCAAACTTACGCGTTTTTAATATATGAAATAAAGTCAATGCAGCTCAATGTTTGGAACACGAAGAGCTCTATCTTATTTTTAGAAACGGACGTTTAATATTTCAAAACTAAAAAATTCCCACCAAACATATTTTTCTGTTGTGCGCACCATCACAGTAAAATAATTTAATTATTATTCCAGTTGAAAAATAAATTAAGTGAATACAAAATAGAAAGGGAGGGGAAAAAGTGATTAATAGTAAGTGAGTATTTGATTGATTTCATATGGTGATATGGTGCAGAGAATCTTGGTCAATTTGTTTCATTTCTTCACTCTCACTGGTGTATTTGAGCAACAAATTAGAGCCGCAATGAATGCATCTTTTGTGCAATCTTGTTTACTTTCGTTGTAATTGGAAAAGATTAGGGGTGAATTGGTGTGTTTAATATCCTAACTTGTGAGGGCTAAGCTTAAATGCAACTGTGGACCTGAAGGTTATAAAGATTTTGATCCCACCTGAAGACAATAAGTGAAGGGATGAGACTTTCCTTTGAGTGTCAGGTTAACAAGGAAGTATTTGACGATAATAATAATATAGAGAAGTACTTTTATTGACTTCATTGAGATATTCTTAAAAAATACATTTCACTTTTTAATTTATATGTACCGTTTGTTTATTGTATGGTATAGTGTGCTGGTGAAGTCATTTAGTTCATATGTCCGCTTATTTTCAAGCCATTACAACTCTTGTCACACTATTTATTTTATTAAACAATCAGCGCTGTTCCCGGAAAAAACATATTTTAGCTAGCTACAGTAGTTTTTTTCGTTCTTTATTGGTTATGTTTCCTGTTTTTAGGTATATAAACCACGTACTTTTCAGAGTTACATGCTTTTACATTTAATTCCAAGCTAATTTTAATATCACTTTCACAGAATTTACCAGTCAACACAGAGGCTACAATGATGGTTGGCCTGAGTGCTGAAAATAAAAACAAGAATCGATACAAGAATATTTGTACATGTATGTCAAATTTCGTGATGTAAACATAGTAACACAACTGAAATCCTCCATAAATGGATGAAAAGGTTTTATCATCAATGATCTTAAGGGTTATGATTTTAAAGAAATAGAGCTGAGAAGATATAATAAAACAATGAACAGTTCAGCTATAGTATACAAACACAGCAATTTGTTTGGAGACACCATGCATGCCCAAAAGAAAATCTGAAAGCTAGTTTTGAATTTAAAAGGTGAAAGAAGGTGGAGAAAGTTGTTTTACATCATTGTCTACAGAAAATTAATGTTCGCTATATAGATGATATAATTGATGCGTCGCGTTATAGCTGTATCAATATATAATTTAATGGGCTAAATTTATACTAAAAATAGCAAGATGCCAAAGATGCAGAGATTTAAAGAGTCCTTGCCATTTGCTTTGACACTGTATTTAAAACTTATAATTATAAGAAAGCCATGATAGAAGTAGGGTAATCATTTGTAGGATATAGGATCACATAGAGAAAAACAATCCTATGGAAACAAAGGGCAAACGAATAATAAAAAAAAATTGAAAAGATACATATCCCATGCATTTAAAGACGTGGCTCATCAAAGTAACCCTTGGGCACTGCACTATACTACTAAACGGATGTGATGTCACAACAAACAGAGCGAGCATCGTCTACTGAATACTGAGAGTTATTATCACTGAGGAGTGAGAGAGGTTAAATAAGTAGATGCAATACTTCGAAAATATCTTCGAATTGCCTCAGGATTCAGCATTGATAAATATTCCTAAAAACATTTTTTACTGATGAGGTAAAAAGAGATCAACTCAATCAGACAAATAGCTAGGCAGAAGTAGAGGACCAAAACTGCACACAGTCCATACACTATCGTTCACTATGCAACGGATATTTCATGGGAACACGTATGAAATCATATGACAACAATGTCAAGAATTTTCAATGAAAAAAAAGGCCGAGTTTGTCACATAAAAATCATCTCGTAAGTCACGATTAAAAGTGTAAGAAAAAAACATAATTTGTAGAAAATATACGTGTGTATTGGTTGAAGTAGCTTGATAATGTTTGTAGAAGGAATTGCTAAACAACAATAACATTGACAGCCATTGGAAAAACAACTTAATGGATGGCCTTGATTTGGAACAAATGAGATTGGTGTATTGAATTTATATTTGAGTCAGCAAAAATGGCATTCCCATTAACATCCAATAACCAGATGATATTTAGCTGAAGCCTTAAGCATCACTGGCCATCCGAGAATTGTCGTATATAAAGACGATTGTTTTTTGTTTCTTTTTAAATTCTGCATTAGAACTGCTGACATTTTTATCCACAATGTTGCTTGGGAAGTTTTTATCTCAACCTTCTTTGATACAGATGTGATTTCTCTATTCCTTGTCTAGCAATGGAGCCTTTATTTTTAAGCTTAATCTAGATTGTGTGAGTCATATTTATGAATAATAATGAAATATGGAATAAAGTTTTTATGTTAAATTATTATTATAATGCCTGTATGTAGAACCATATACATTTGAATTGATTATTTCCACTTTTATTATATATTTAAATCTATGTTAACATTTTTTTTTCTCAAATTTTTAACACTTTTATCCTATTTTGTGGACAACGATACAATAGTATTTATTACGTACTAAGTATTATTCCTATTACTATATACACAGACGACCATTCGCGCGTCCACTTGGAAGCTGATTCAACGAAGAAGCACGGAGACTACATAAATGCTTCTTATTTAAAAGTAAAGATTATTTTTGAAGGGATTAGAAGTGCCAAATTACCACGAAATATCTAGTTATTTGTAAATCTATTTGAACAATCAGACAGGCATTCTAAGGGTGCAGTTTCATATTAGCAAGTTTTTGCCAGGATAATTTTTTAAGACTTGTTAAATATGAATATTGTTACTTTAAAAAAAAAAAGACCTGAATGTAAATATTAAAACTCCTCATCAATTGATTATTTTTTTTAAATTATGAGTTCTCTGGTTTCTCACCAAGACGTTTGGTTGTGCATGAATATTATTTTTTCAAGGTCCTTTTCTTTTTTTACTCGCTGTTATATGAACTTAAGTAATTCCCGCATTTATTTATACTTAATTTATTTGATTGATTAATTAAAACAATAATATTTCTTAGACATCTATATTTATTTAATAACATTAAGTTAAATGATGTTTGTTTAAATTGTCTTCTTACAGGGATATAAGGGAGAGAAGTTTATTGCTTCTCAAGGTAGGGGAAATATTAATTACGTCAGTATTTTATTTCTTGATAGAATATTTTTAAAAATTAAACATAACATGAATAATTAAAGGATGAATTGTAGTGTTGAAATGCGTATATTTTTGAAGGCATACTTTGAAAAAAAAATAATGTTTAAATTAACTATATAAATGTGTTTTCTCTTATCTCATTAGGACCAAACAAGATTATATTGAATGACTTCATTAGAATGATTTGGGAGCAAAAAATTGAAAAAGTTGTCATGTTGACCAATCTTATTGAAGATGGAAAAGTAAGCTTTGTTTTTATCGCTATAGTATTTTAAATTAACGAAATCTTATTCAAACAACATTCCAGGACATGACTTCTTAACCTTCATTAAACTAAACGCATATGGACAAATGGAACAATTCTTTTAGCAACACATTTTAAAAAAAAAAAATTATTTCAAATAGGCTGTGGAGTTAAAACAAGATCAATGAACCTTGTACAAGAACTTATTTAAGTGCCGAGTCTAGACGAATAGAGTAACTTTTAATAGTGCTTACATTATCACTAAAAATGAAAAAATGGAAACACATTCTATTAGACAGTATGGAGAAACTAGCGATTATTTCTCAGAATATATGTCCGTGATAATTTAATAATTGCATTTTAATATATTTCTTTGGATTTGTATTAAGGGAACATGAGGGTAAAAAACATAAAAGTATGAGTGTAATTAAAATAATTATACAATATGTTGAGTTATAAATATATGATTTAGTGCCTAACAGACTTGCATTTAGTAATTAAAAACCAACAAATGCATATTTATAAGATATCTGTAAATTAGTTTTAAAAAGATTTAAATATGCCTGACATGTTTATGTGTTTAGGTAAGTCGACACCATAACATTACATCCATGAAAAACCACATAGATGCCACATATTAACACAAAACTAGGCTCTTTGCATATATGAAGTCCCTTAACTTCAGGGTGCTCGTCCCAACGAATGAAATTGAAATTGACAAGCCACAATTATTTCGCCTAAGGGAGGTTGAGTCCTGAAGGTTGCCCCGCACTGAACAAAAACGGCAATAATACTTACATTTTTGATTCAACTATTTCACAGCGAGCTAGCGAAGCTAGTTTTCTAGCAATATTTTAATTAAACAGAGTTGTATGAGAGTACAATTAATTTTGTACCGCAGAGAAAGGATATTCATTTAAAACTTAAAACACAGCCACTATTATAGAATCAAATTTGTGACCGAAAAAATCTCGAATCCTCAGCCAAATTTATGTTGTTTCGTATATTTTATATTTTCAAGAGTATTCCAAGAAAGTCATTTAATTATTCATTTTCTATCATCCAAATACTTGTTTTACAACATTGATCTTAACAAGTCCAAGTGTGATCCATATTGGCCAGATGAAGGTGAGACGACATTTGGAGAAATAAGAGTGAGACTTGCTGCTACACAGGTGTTTGCTGATTATATTATAAGGCGTCTTCAACTTTACATGGTAAGCTTATATGTGACGCTTAGGTATTTATTTTATCATAAAGAATACAAAGATTTACTTTGTAAAGGCTCTATTTGTATTGTTTAGTAAGCCGACACAAAATATTTCCAATTATATATTTTTTTTTATTTAACTTCAAATATTTAGACCAAAAAAAAAAAAAAAAAAAAAAGAAAAATATAAATTATTTGTTTTAAAAATCCTTGATGCTTTTTAACGATTTGTGTTATGTACCTCCTTAATCTTAACATTAAAGATGAAAAAAAAAATTTAAAACTAATATTAACAATGTATTGTTATATCAGCAAATATATATGCAATAATGTTATATATCATATTATATATCATATTATATATACATATATAACGGTGTAAATTAGCGAGTGGCTTTGTTTGTTTGTTTGTTCCAGCAAGGATTTTATGTGGAGTGATGGCTATTGAACAAACTAGGCACATATATCCATCATGTTCATCAGAGTTTTTTTTATTATATGAGCTATATAAATAAACTTGTTAACAAATACTCCTACATGAATTAATGGATATTGACCAAACTTAGTATCCATACACTTGATTATCCACATTCAAACACAGAAGGGTACTAAACTCATAATATCTATTCCACTGGGGCTGAGGCCTCATTTCATTTTTCCTTACATACGCTTTATAAATATTAAAAGGCTTAGAAATCACGATATGTTCTATGTGAGATGATGGATCTAGCCTAGCTCGGTAGTAATATATTTTATATTCCTTTTTTGACATATATTGCTACATCTACAGTGATTCCCAATCCATTCAGTGTTGGTCTAAAAAGTTCGATAATTTAAAAAGGCGTTATTAAAGCTTTTTTAAACCGATTTAAATGGGACAAATGTTAAATATTAGAATTATTATTTATCTGACTTTTATTTATAAACCCCATATCTCAGGCAAAGCTAAATCGGTACAGTTATGGGATCGGGATCTCAATGGGTTCGGTATACCGACGGAATCTAAAACTCGTCGTAATCGTGATCCCCCTAGGTTCAGGTCAACCGGGATAGGGACCCAAAAGGGTTCAAAATACTGACGGGATGGTACCCACGGGGATCGGGATCAGACCAGGATCGGAATTCACACGGGATCGGGATCCCAACGGAATGTCACAAAAAATATAATATTTTTTTTTTAAATAGGAGACAGATTTATTACTAAATTGTTGTTATTAGAGCGGAATGTTTTTCCTCGTGCTTACACTTAATACTAGGTTGTAGCAGTTCCTATGTTCCGAATAAAATGCCGGGTATATCGGCAAGTATATATATATATATATATATAAATATATAAATGAGCACCATTTAAGGAAATCATTTTCAAATGCTCGGATGCTTACAAACAATGCAAATTTTATATGTTTACGTAAATCGAATACAAAATAATATGAATTTATTATGGGTAAATGTGTATATGTAATAAATTATTATTTTAAATTACACACACATAAAAAAAAAATTAAATAATTGTCTTATAATATTTTCTGAATCATAGAGATGACATATTCCTTTTATCATCAAACAATTATCCTCTATGACTAACTCTGTATTTCTAAATTATTGTTATTTATTTTAAGCATATTTGTTCTTGAGGACTCATAAAACTTTGTGTATTTTTTAAATTTTTAAAATAAATAATAGCGACATCAAATTAAAACATATGTTAATTTGCCAAATGACTTCAAACAATGTTATATTAAAATGTTTCCCTTGAACTAAAGTCCAATGAAAATTAGAATTTTCTGATAAGAAATAAAATTTGCCCTGCCAACAAGTCATTAAAAATCAATAAAAACAAATTTCTCGTATAAATCTTAGTTTCACTTCTGCTTGCTTTCATGAAATTGTATTTTTCTTATCATATGTTAAGAAGCCGTTATGTAAATGGGTAAATTTTAAGCGAAAACACGTTTAATTTCCTTAACTTTTCTCTAAAAGCAATATACTAGCTTTTATTTGAATTGCATAACCAAAATACGTCACAAATACAAAGCGAATAGCATCAGCTACACAATTAATCTCCCCACCAAAACACGCACCTTTTGAACATATCATTATGAAAAACAGCAATACCTTTTTTTTAGTTTTGGGCTGGGGCTGGATAGTAGACAGAATGTGTTGTCATCCGTAATTAGTCTATTGACCAGGACATGAAAAAAATTATTATAGTTAAGGGATTACTTCGGGCTTAAAATACCGTTAATGTTTAAATTAGCGATTTTTCATAACTATTGTGAGGGGGTTGATTTTGTTTTCCCCACCGATCAAAAGGTATACCTTAGAATCGCGGAGTGCATTTGATAAAATAATTAACCTTCTTTGGGAAACATATTTCAGGGAAGGAAAGAGTGTGTGTTACATTTTTATGCGGCTGGCATTATCTTTAAATGGCATGGTAGGGCAGTCTAGAAAATGACGTTTAAGATTTCAATTTAAAATCTTTAAATATATGTACAACTGAATGGCGTTGAGACATGTTGGTCACATTTGGAGAGGTATAATCATTTTTCAAACCTATTGTAATTTTAAAAAGAGTAGGAGTGGAAAATGGTTTATTTGAAACTGAGACGGTGAACATTTAATAACGTTTGAGGTGAGGGGCGGGCAAGCATCAACAAGGATACACTGAATGTTTAATATAAACAAATGTATAGTAAGTATTTTGTGAGGAAAAAAGGTACATTTTACGTGTGAAATAAAAGGGGTGCGAACATGCGAATAATAATATCTAAAAATTCAAATTAATTAGTGTATGGAAGTGAATATTTAATTTTAGAAAACAAAATGGACAAATATTTTTTCCCCTAGAGTTGCATTTAAGGTACTTGAACATTTAGGGGTAACTTTACTTTAGAAATAAGGATAAACTCGTTTTTTTTCCATTTGCTAAATAAAATTTATATCATTGAAAGGAATGAGTACTTTTTATGAAGAAAACTAATTCACAATAATACAAGTTAGATATGGACGGAAAATTAGTTAAGCTATTTTTCCTTACACACAAAAAATTATGTGTTGAATTTTTCGAACATTTATTTTAGGTAAATTTGCTAAAAGGTGGGCAATGTTTAAATTAAGATTTTAATAAATAAATGAGTTACTTTTACATATGTTTAAAATTGTATTTAGCTTCTTTCTCAAAATGTAAAAGCAAATATATTTCTAACATTTAGAACATTTTCTCCGTGCAGTCAACTGTGTTTAAAGAGTTGACTTGACATATTTTATACAATGGATAAACAATTCTTAAAAACCAATAATGATATGAACTTACAATAAATTGATAGAAGAGTCTTGAAAGTAAAGTAAGATTGATTTACTATTTCCTAAATATGCATTTCAAGGTTTGAAAAGATACTTAATTTATTTTTTTTGAGCATACAAAACATCAAAATCCAATTTAGTTACAAATAAACATGATTTGTATATTATATGATGAGGCGTTGCAATAGGACGTGCAAAGAGGCAAAATATTTCTTCCTTTATTAACCAGGTAACATCGGGTCATATCTCCTATATGAAGCAATACTATGCTAAATTAACAATTGAATTAACTAACGCAGGACTCCCAGCCAATGCATCCAGTGACCCAGTTTCACTTCACATCCTGGCCAGACAAGGGTGTACCAGAAAACCCCTGGGCTCTAGTGGACTTTGAACAAAGAGTAGCGGCTACTGCAACCAAAAGGCCCATTGTTGTTCACTGCAGGTGAGTAAACATAATTATTAATTAATTTCACATAACCTTATGACTTATCTGAGATGAATCTTGGAAAAAACTAAACTACTTAGGGACAAAAATAGTATAATTTTTAAGGAAAAAAATGAAAATTTAAAAGAAATTTCTTTTTGGATCAAAATCATTATAAAAAATAATTATGTGTAATGTTTATAAAGGTGACAACGAAATTTTATCAAAAGCATGGTCAAATAACGGTTATTTTAATTGTTGAGACAATCATTTTAAAGTTCAAAAATATTTTAGCCCTCAAAGTCTCACTTTTTCCAAACAATTTTATTTTACTATTTCTAAAATTGTATTGCAAATAATATAAATTAAGCTATGTCTTTGTCAGTGCTGGTGTTGGCCGTACAGGAACATTCATAGCTCTACGTAACGTAATGAGAGAAGCTGAGGATACACAACAGATGGATTTTTTCAATACCGTGGCCAAACTCAGGCAGGACAGGACGATGATGATACAGACAGCTGTGAGATATTTAATATTCCTATTCTTTATTAGTCGTATGTACCAATTCACCATTGGGCGTTATTAATTGTTTCGCATGAAGCTTAATATACACTAAATATGTTTTAAAAATAAAAAAAATGAATAGCAGATAATCTGGCTGATTGAAAAATATATTATTTTGATACTAGAATGTTTAAAGAACCGAAAGATAAATTTCCTGCTTTTTCGCAAAATGTAAATGAAATATAAGCGCCATTCATATAAAATTAAATAATATTAAATATAAACGATCCATTTTTGGAAGGCTAATTAATTGTCTGAACTGTCTAATATAAACAATTTGGAAGATTCTGAAATTGATTTGTTATAAGATATGCATCTTAAGTATCTTACTTCAAAATAAATAGCAGAATAAAATTTAGAAATATAGTTATAGTTTTTCTGGACAAGATGATAATACTATTTCAGGAACAATATGTGTTCTTGCACGAGGCTGCCAAGGTTGCCATGACCTGTATAAATACAACTATAACATCCAATAATATTACAGACAGGGTTCGCCAATTAGAGAAAAAGTCCATCTCTGGAAAAACTGAAATGGAAATAGAGTTCGATGTAAGTTTTATTGATTAAAATTATGGATGATAAGGGTTTGCAGTGACAATTTCTAAAAACAAAATGTCAATTTTAACATTTAAATATGAACTTTAACATTTGTCTTTAATAAGTTATTTTATGTTTAATATTACCGTTGTGAGAATTCTCTTGCATTGTTATGCATTTTAAAAAAATATCAATATCTAAAATCCATTATCAGATTCAAGTGTCAAGAAATTATTTTTAATTTGTGAACCATTTTAGTTTAAGCTTTGAAATTTAAACATGCTCCAGTCAAAATTTTACATCTGCAAGTTTTTTAGTCATATATAGGCTTCAGTCAATATAGCATAGTTGCCATGTTTGCGTTATATATAGGCAGTATGCAGTGTGTGTCTGGAGGAAAGTCAGTTTACAGATGAAGAAGGTTCAGCTGGAATTATGTACCAAAACAGTCGAACTGTCTCCAATAAACTCAAAAACAGATTTGGTAACATATTGCCAAGTAAGTCTGTCAATTCATTCTTTAAATCACATACACTCATATACAAACGATCTAAAAGCAACCATATCTTTCTAGCTTATAAAAATATACCTGTTAACTTATATAAAATGGGAAAATGGTGTAATACATTTCCATAATGGTAATTGCATTTATTGTATTTTCCATTAGAGGAAAATTACAGACCTGTACTTATGTGTGAGTCCAGTGACATGGGAGATTACATCAATGCTGTGCTAACACCGGTAATTTGAGATAAATGTTTCAAAGTTTATTGTCCTTCACTGACTTCTGTCATAAATAATTAATTAAAATTTAAAGAAAGGTTCAATCAATTCTAAAATGTGTCCTGTTTTAGTCTTTTAATATAAATGCTTTGAGCAATGTATTCCAATATTTATCTTCAATTGTACAGCTCAAGTATTAAATAATAATTACAGTTTATTTCCTCACATTTTTCAGAGTTTCAGACAAAGGAATCAAGACATCATCACACAACTTCCACTCCCAACAACAGTGGTGGACTTCTGGCGTCTCATTACTCAATTGAAAATTTCGTTAGTTGTTGCATTTGAGGAGCAGTTACAGGCCACAGATTCAGTAATAAGAATTAGAATGTTACAATTTATTTACGTCCATTGATCTGCTTATATATGTTTATATTATTAGCCTTGTGTTATTCATTAAATTCACTTTAAAAAATTAAATACCTTTTCGTTTCAGTGTAAAAACTTAATTTCAAGGAATTTTTTTTTTTTTTAATTTTAAAAAGCAAACGTCCACCCCAAATGTTCACATACTATTTATTATTATACAAGTAGCCTAATCAAATAAGTCCTCTCAGCTCTTAAACAAAACAAAAACAATACAAATAATACAAACAAATCTAAATGGCTTAAATTAATGTTTTATACATTAATTATGAAATAAAGTTCCTCTTATTTAAACTTTCTCTACCGATTTTGATGTTTCTTCTCCAACGACATGTTCTAATCATCCACTGTGAACCCTTGCCACGGGTCTCTTTTTACTACTATAAGCGTGACTCGGCTCCATGGTTGACTAAAATGTAATTAAATGCAATTGTTTGGAGTTATATGTACCAAGGAAACACATTATTTATTAATGTCAACCCTGATCTTGTACGAATTCTACAAGTTCCCATCATATACCAAATAAACTATTAACATAATCAAATCTAGATCTTTAAACTTAATCTACTGCTGTATCTTATTATCCATGTAGTTTTAGTGGCTATACTCTAGATGTCCAAATTCTAATCACTTTCATCCATCGACAATAATTGTATTGATCTCTGTTGAAACCTTTTGTATGCTAGAAACTATCTTAAAAGTTTCTTTGCATTGCTCTATTCTGATTACCATTTAGACAATAGGCGAGTATCTGCCAACCAGTGACAAAGAAAAAACCAGTTTCCCTCCATTTCAAGTTTGCATGGGAACATTGCATCAAGGCTCTCACTGGGAAGAGAGGAAGTTGATTGTTACTGGATCACAGGTAGATTATAAAAAATTAATATAATTCAATATATTCTGCTGACATAATGACATTTTAAAATACCCCTTAATACGGAATGGTGCTTAGAGCTATAAATAACAAATATGAATAAGGTTAAATATATTGCTTAAGAGGGTCGTGAGGAACAAAAGCTGAACTCGGCGCCAGTATTTCTTTCAGGCAAGCTCTCCGGGAGGGGGGCATATTGAAGGTTGTAGTCTCGTGGTGGAAGACGGTGAGTCTCCAGTGATGTTAGAAGGTGGTTCTCTCATGGTGGGAGTGGATGAGTTGCAGTGGTGTTAGAAGGTGGCTCTTTCGTGGCGGGGCAGGGTGGGATTTCGTTGGTGGGGGAGAATTTCTACTTTTTTTCTGTGAGTGAGAAGTGGGGGATATATTCATGATTTGTTCAAATGCCTGCATGTTGCAAGTTAAATATTACTTGTGCAGCCATTGCCATTTGATTTATATTTTTATATGACGTATTTTAGATTTGACTTTTTTTTTTTTTGGTTGGTCGTTTGTATGAGTTTTTGCTTGTAAAGGAGTTGCAGAAAAATTGTGGAAGTAAGAAGGCACGCTGTTTAGGAATTAAAATCATGTGTAAACTTAGCATTGGATTTGTTTACTAATGACCCGGATACTTTTTGGCTTCGTCACCGCCACCTTGCATTCATTGTTAATATTTTAAAAAGTGTTCATCTAACAGTTTTTAAGACCCTTAATTATCCAAAGCCAATTGCAGCCGTATCGGTTGCGGGGGAAATACGATGGCTCTGAGGTTTTAGGACACAAAGATGTTTAATTAGCATCTCTTTTTACTTTGATTTCCAATTAAGTGTAGGGTGTCGGAAACTTAAATTCAGGTATGTATTAAATGCACTCTTGTATTTTGAAATAGTCAAAAGTTGTTTTTTTTTTTTTGGACTTTACAAATTTAAAGGGAGAGAATAAGCTGAGGCGAAAGCATGTGATAACATCAAGATGACGTCTTTCAAATTTTATTACAGTTATAAACTCCTCCATACAACGTCTCTCCCTAATTTTGTGTATTCAGCACAAATTATTCCCCTTTGACTGATGGTTCGCGTGAATCGCTCGATATAACATCTGAGCAGGGTATTGGACTACGCAATAGATCCCCCCCCCCCCATCACCAACTTTTTGCCACTTGTGATGCGTTGTTAGCCTGTGGAGATCTTATTACGTATCTAAATATTATTTCAATATATCTCAGCTAGCACATGATAAGCATTTAGTCAATGACCAATTATAGTAAATCAACTGTAAATACAAAGATAAAATTTAGAGTTGTTCTTTCCAGATCGTCATAACAAAGTTATTAAATTAACCTTTTGATTTCCGAAGCCGGCCATAGCATCATTTTTGTTTCATTCCTTTTGTTTCAATACATTGTTTTACCTTGTATAAAGTTATGTTAAAATATTTTAAATGAGTGATCATTGTGATCAGAATGAATTTCTTTATTTTATTGTATTGTTTATTTTAATCGATGTTTGACATACGTCTCTAAACTGAGACATGTGTTGGCCATTTTGAGATTTACTTATCTAGACTTTATCCCACATTGAGAATGATGATGGAGCCACTGGATGTTTGTTATCCAAAACTGTTTTTTGGAGATTAATACATTGTTAAATTCTTTATTTTTTAAATGATTAATTGTATAAATATATGAAAAAATCATTCGCCACACATCACAGCTAGCCATACTTGCTTAAACCGGTTATAATGAAGACGAATAAGGCTATCCACACATGGTTAGAGATATACTTTAAGATATCTTTGGTCATTATTATGGCTAATTGTGGCGCTTCCTACCCGAAAATCTGAAAGGCCCCTTAAAACTTTCGGAAAGAAACATCGAATTCAATTATGCGCTAATATGCATGTTTGCATTTTTATTTTATGACAGTCATTGACATCCTCAATTTCTGTCCAATTCCATAATTTTTCTTCACGCTGATTAATATTACCATACGGGATTGTATCTACTCCACAACCTGAGTGAATTCAGTTGAGGTATGACATTGACGCCATGATGCCTCTCCCATCGCTTACCAAATGTATTCCCTCCATCGAAAGTCCAGGTAAAATCCATAATTCACCTCCTGATTTCGAATAAACAAAATATTTCTGACGAGAAGACTCCTTAGACATCTCAGCCATCCGAGAGAAACCATCACCGTCGATTTCAGGCCTGCTACCCGATAAAAAAATCTCTAATTTTGTTGACACTATATACACTGCCGAGAGGCGAAGCTAGTATTCGGGTGGGCCAATATTTCAGAATAATTTCTCTTATGATACAAACGAAGCAGTTGTCTGGAAATGACGCAAATCCATATAAAGAAAAAACTGACACCTGGATGGATCATCCCATTCCCCTCATTTTCTATAACATTGGCAGGGGCGTAGTGAGAGTGTTTGGTGCCATGGCACAAGAATTAATTTTAACTCGCACTTCTTACTCTGAAATCAATCATACTTATCATCAGCTAAATACCAACAAAGCCCATTTGGTGTCACCACTAGTCTTGCGCCCGGGTACGTTTTTCCCTCTTCCCTTCTTATCTACGCCTCTTACCACTGGTACTGCTGACCCGAAAATCTGTAATTCCCCCGCTTCCGGAGGCAAGTGTTTAAAAGAAAATGGCACTTCAGAGATTAACACATTTTTGTATGACAAATTTTTGTATTAATCTCTAAAGTGCCATGAAAAAATTAACTATTTTAAGGTCTTCCGTTTTTATTCCCATCTTTTCCACGTTCCTAGTTCTCACTTATAGGCAAAACTTTAGTTATTTATTAAATTTCTCAACCAAAATCTGAAATCAATATAAAAGCTGGGTATCTTAATTTACAAATTACTCTTTACATTAATTGTATGCAAACATCATATGCTTTATTAATTGTATTTTCTTTAATTGAAACTTTTATAAAGGGCGCAGAAGAGCACAGCCTCATTCATCTCAGATATACAGAAAACACCACAGATCCCAAGAAATTGTTGTCATTTCTCAAGCATGCAAGGACAACTAACCCTGAACAGGATGCAAGAATTTTATACATGTGCAGGTGGATGTTACTTAATATTAGATTTTGAAACAAAATGCAAAGAATAGATCTGCTTAAACGTTTTACAACTGCCTTCTTCACTTAAAATAATGCAAATAATACTATATTTACGTTAGTGATTCCTTTTCCAACAAAATGTTATACAATTAAATGGGTAGATTTCGGTTTTCCAGAAACGGTGCAACAATCAGTGGTTTGGCCTGTGTCTTGTCTCTCCTACTGGACAGAATGGACAATGACCAGCGCCTGACTGTTCCACTCGTCGTTGGTGCCATCAAGACTATTCGTCCTCAAGTTATCCCAACAGTGGTAATTTTAAATTTAAACAACAATCTTAACATAACTAGAAATTATATTTTAGACAGGTTTTGACAAAAAAAAAGCATGAAATAGTTGATGTTTAATCCATAAAGTATCAAATATTTAAATTAATATAATAAAGCAGTGGTTAATGAAGTATTTCCTTTTTTTAATCAATTCTAGCACACGTATTTTCTAAGCCCTTTGGATTGGAGAAATTATGTGTGTTTTATTTCTATATTATTGAACCTATGACATTTTCTAAAAAAATGTTTAAAATATTTATTGAATAGCATTTGTTTTATTTTTTTTTAAATATATGGATTTGTGTTTTTTTTTTTTTATTCATGGCAAATAGAGAAATAGCCGATTATTTATTTCTGTTCTTTTAGGATGTTTTTTAAAATTAATTTTAACACCTAAAATAGAAAATTTAAAAAAAATTCTGATCAATTTCTATATTATTGAACCTATGACATTTTCTAAAAAAATGTTTAAAATATTTATTGAATAGCATTTGTTTTATTTTTTTTTAAATATATGGATTTGTGTTTTTTTTTTTATTCATGGCAAATAGAGAAATAGCCGATTATTTATTTCTGTTCTTTTAGGATGTTTTTTAAAATTAATTTTAACACCTAAAATAGAAAATTTAAAAAAAATTCTGATCACCTCACATGTATATTCTTTTTTTTTTTTTTACAAATACAGGAGCAATACAAAATTCTCTATCAGGTTCTCCAAAGATATAACGAAACCAACAGCGTCTACTTCAACTTCAATGATACAAATCTCTCAGTCCCTTCAAATGATGATGGCAAAGTCAATGTAGGAAATATCGGTGCAACAGAGTACGCCAATGCAAAATTTTAAGTGTTGAAAATTATCCCCTTAAAAATCAATACTACACACATAATTCATATTTTATTTTTTTTTAAACTGATCTCATAACCCGCCAATATCAAATTGTTTAAATTTTTTTCTCCAAAAGCAATAATATTCTCTTTACAAATTTTATACAATTTAAACATATTTTTTTAAATTGTATGAAGTATTGGCATTCGTCTATTCTTTCTTATACTGTAACATTGTTATAAAACGTTAGATTTTATTGTATATACTTATTGTCGTTTACTTAAATCATTAAATGTCCTCAGTCAAAGCAAATAACCGCAGAACCCATATTTTTTTAAAGAAGCAAATGTCTATATAGAAAATATGTTTATCTCTCTTTCAAAAATAATTTTTGTTATACATGTATGTTACTTAACATATATTTGTATATTACATTTTATAATGTTTATGAAGTAATTAGCCATTTATTATTTCCAACTCAATTCAGTTACAATACATATTGCTATTGTGAAATAACTTTCAATAGAAACAAATTTCATTACCTTTTCTTGATTTAAAACTTTAAAAAAATTTGATAACAATTTTATTTGTAAGCTTTAACCTAATCTTTGCATAATATACACACATTTGATAAGACTTTCTTAAATATATTTCAGATTTAATAATTTTTTGAGCATTGAAATGTCGTAATTGTTTAAGTTACCTGACATAAAAATCTTTGGGATAACTTAAATTATCAAATATTTTAATATATATTTCATCATTACTTCAAATTGAATTTTTTTTAATCACGATATAAAGCATGTAATGTGTATTGACAGTCTCAGAGATTATAGAAATGTCAAGGGAGAACTTTTTTTAAAAACTACTGGGGAACTACAAACTTCTACAATGAAAAGTACAATTATCCCATGTAAACAATAAAGCATTACCTACTCGTCATAACTCAGCATGCCACACGTACAACATGGAGCTGAAATCAAGATACTGTTATTTATTATTACATATTATTGGACGTTTTGTGAATTGGATTTCTTTGCTATTTTAACTAAGATATATGCATTTTTAAAAATTAATTCTGTTTTTAAATGACATCGCTTCATAACTCTAAATGCAATTACATTCCCATTTGGCACTATTTGAAAAAAAAAATTATATATGAGACTTTAACGTTTTGTAGCCCATTACTTACTTATCTAGATTACCCTAATTTTAACCAGCGACAACGAGTACGTATGTTACTCTTTCAAGATTTTTTTATATATTGTCTTCTGGCTTTATATCAATATAAATATCTAAGCTTTTTAAAATATACATAAACTATTTTCCATCTTTTTAATTTTTTTTTTTTATTAGACTAATTTTCTTTTATAATAATAATAATTGTTTTAGTTAAGTTAAATAAATGCCACCACACTAATATGAGAAATACAAAAATTCTTTTGACCTATGATTTAATTGTAATTTTAAAATGCGTCTAATTTTGTTTAAACCTTCAATAACCATGTAAACATGTGTTAAATAAATATTTAAGCTGTGCTGTAGATTCTGTCTGAGGTTTTCTCATGTTTCTTTTCCCCCATTAAAAAAATAATTTCATGAAATAAGAAGGATAAATATTTATTTTTTTATATTTAAATGTGTGGTTTACATGTTCGAATTTTTGTTCATTTGATCCTTGAAAAATACAACATAAAGATACTTTTTTTTCTAATTGTCATTTTTGACATCAGATGGGTTTTTTACTTCTCCGTAATATTCGCGGACAAAGATAAATATATTTTATAATCTCTTTACTAAATAAAACACGATTTTTATTATAGCACACACTGACTTAAGTTTCTGTGTTATTAGTTTGAGTCGTGATAACAACCCTCATCTGACAGACTTTTTGTACATAACACTTCATTTCATAGCTCTTCACCTATGAATACTGTTATCAAAATTCCTCAAGACCGTTACAGATGAGGAAGACCATTCGGTTTTCGTGTTTAACTCCTGATAAGGTTGCGTTCTTCAGTTGCGGCATCTTGTGGTGTATGCTTCCAAAATGTCCATACATTTGTAATTGTCTTTAAGAAACCATATACGATATTTTCCTTATTAAATTCAATTATTTCAGAGAGTTAACGTCATCGATTTTGTAAGAGGAAATTATTTGCTCTAGCTATTTCAAAACGTTTATTTAGTGCAGACATAACTTCTGCCACACTGTAGACAACATGAAACATCTGCAACAATACAAACAACTGTTCCAAATAAAAACGAGACCCATTACCTTTTTAGCGTCCTTGGATACATGGAGATATTGACCAGCGGGTAAATTTTGTGTCTGACCAAATAAGTAGAAAACTTGACCATGACAAATCAGGAACTGATACTGAATCAAGTCACAGCATCGTATAAAACATGTAATTTATCCTCTTTCATGAACTTTTACAATTTTTCTGTCATGTTTAATGACGAATTTGAGGACGGTTTCATATCCTTTGCCTTTACACCTATTTCTAAATTATTGTGCAACATATGTTGCACCTTTTTTTTAAACAAACCTGAATCATTATAAATATAAATTCCTGAAATTCAAAAATAATTCTAACCTTTTTTTTTTGGCGAATAAAATTATCTTTGCAAATCTCATCAATTTTAATAAAATTGTGCCCGTCAATGAATATATAAGCACTCACTTTATTGGTAAATAACTGTTGAGGGACAGAGGTAAGTCTAATCCTTTTAAAGATTTTAGAACCTGCTATATCTTCACGTACATATTTCCTAATATTAGGCTTGAATGCATTACTCAAGATAACAGCCGGATGGCCACGCTCCATTGCTTTTGATAAAGCTTTGCCTGTTATTATAACTTCACGTGAGAGTTCGGATAAAATACTTGATTACATTATCTCATTGATCCTTCCTTGTTATTCTTTGTCACTTATGGCTTAGCTTATCTCTTATCTTTCATACATGTGCTGTAAATTTCTTTTTTTTTTTGTTCTTAACATTCTCTTAGTATAATTTCATTTTATGAGTTTGCCTTGACTTAGTACCGGTGCCTCTAGGATCGGATATGTTGAATAAATAACATACATCAATGTTAATTATATAAACATGTTTAGTCCTTCACCAATAAAATTTAAATCAAAATGCCGGTCAAATCAATTAGAGAATCCCAGCTAGTTATGATCTCACCAATCCTCCACCATCCTTATTTTCCGATGTCCCTTTAGACAGTTTTGAAATGAATTTTAGATAAAACCATCTGATGCCCTATACAGGATTATATGTTGGCATCAAGATAGCAACAAAAAAAAAGTATGTGTTTCCTGAAACTACATTGGAAATGGATTTAACGATGTTTAAAAGTGAAAAGACGGTGGTGTTATCTCCTAACATCAACTTTTCAACGGAGGTCTTTTATCAAAGCGCTATTGAAAATGCCGTTCACAAATCCTGTCTCTAAATTCCAGAGACATTATCCCTGCTCACAGTAAAAACACACACTCTATACCATGTTCATACACATCCCCCCAACCCAAACTCAAAACTCGTAACTTGTCATAACTAGCATTAAATCGAAACATGTATTCTCACAAATACTTTTTTTTTGTTAAAAAGCAGCTTTTAATCTGTAACATAAACATCCCAGTGTAATATGACTAAGAAATTCTCGATCAGATGTCTGAATAATTAAGACGTAATTTTGTGTTAAGACAAGCAGCTGGACAAACGAAAGTTTGTAAAAACACAAGGATCCTCCTTTATTCTTAAAAAAAAAAACTACATTTTGTAAAAATAATGTCAATAAAACAA